CCAAAAGAACTCCCAGAAATAGTTTAAATTCTTTTTGATATGCTCTCTCCTTTCTCCTTCCACTGAAGATAATTTGAAATGGTGTGCATTGTCTGAACATTATAGGCAATCTGTCACACACTGTACATTTTTCCTTTTACCCATAACTGAGTTGTACGTCCACTAGGAACTGTGACGCACACTTGCCCTTTGTCAGGATTCTGGTGTGGCCCATCCTGAGTGACGCTCCCTCTCTGGTAGATTGCCCAGGAGAGCTCGTGACAGGGTTACCTGCTGGTGGTGGTCTGCTCTCACCTTGGATAAGTCATCTTTGGCTCCTACTTTGCATCCTTGATATCCTAAATATATGGCTCCAGTTTCTTCTGACATAAAGTACTACTTCTGGTAAGCCTGGTTTTCACCTCATGTCTACCCCTCAGAAGTCATTGAGGGGCTGACCTTGTGGCACAGCAGGTTAAGCCACCACCTGCAACACCAGCGTCCCATATCAAGGCACCAGTTCGAGTCCTGGCTGCTTCACTTCCCATGCAGCTCCCTGCTAATGCACTGGGAAGGCAGCAGAAGATGCCCAAGCACTTGGACCCCTGCCACTCACGTGAGAGATGCGGATGGAATCCTGGCTGCTGGCTCCGGCCTGGCCCAGACCTGACTTTCTCGACCATTGAGGGAGTGAACCAGCAGATGTTCCTAGCTGCCTGATAGTTTCTTGTTGTTGAAGTCCAGTAATTTCTTAGCACATACCTTCATGATGGTCATTCTGAGTTGACAGAGCAAATGAAACACTAAGACTATTGATAGGTAGTTCAAACGTTATTTTGGGAATCAGTCTGTAGCTAAGGAATCAAGGTTGGGAGTTTTGCTCTGTTCCTATTCTTTGCTTTTCTCCTTCAGAGACCCCTAATATCTCTATGTTGAATCTATTTTTGCCTTATTTGTCACTTTCTAATTATTCTTTATTTTTTAATGTTTATTTGGAAGGCAAAGTAAGAGAGTGAGCAAGGGAGCTGCATTTCATATGCAGATTCACTCCCCACATGCCTGGAACTCCATCTGGTTCTCCCATATTGGTGGCAGGAACCCAAGTACTTGATCCATCATCTGCCACCTCCCTGGCAAATTAGTGGGAAGCTGGATTAGAAGCAGAGTAGCTGAGAACCTGGTACTCGAATGAGGGCCGTGGGTGTCCTAGTCGGGGCTTAATCTGCACCACCATGCCCAACACCTCTTTGTTTCTTTTTGGAATAGTTGTTCTTCGTCACACTTCCAGTTTTCTCTTCAGGTGTTATGTGGTGTGTTCATTTGCTCTTGAATTCCTTGTGTCTCGATGATTTTTTTGTCTCATTTATGAGAGTTTATTGAGTTTCTCACCTAGTTTGAGTTTTTCAAATTCTCACTTAAGTTCTTTTTCACGACTTGTAAAACTTTTACTGTTTTTTTTTTTTTTTTAAGGTTGGTTTGAAATTCTTAGCTACAGCATCATCTGCTTAGTGAGTGTATCTCAGGTTTTCATTGATTACTGAAATGTTACCTACCCTTAATTCTCTTAAAAGTTTATTTTTCTTTATTTGAAAGTTATAGAGACAGAGGCAAAGAGAATTCTTCCATCTGTTAGTTCACTCCCCATATGTCCACAGTATTTGGGCCAAGCCAAAGCTAGGAGCCAGGAGCTTCATGTATGTCTCCCATGTGGATGGCAGGGCGCCAAGGGCCATCATCCATTGCCTCCCAGGTGAATTAGCAGAAAGCTGGCTCAGAAGCAGTGTAGCCAGAGCTCACACCAGGCACTCTGGTGTGGGATGTGGGTGTCCCGAGCGGTGACTTCACCTACTGTGATACAATGCCCAAACCTCTCTATTTTTAAGATTTATTTAGTACTCATATTGTGCCATTCTTGACCACAGGAGCCTGTTCAAATTGACTTCTGTCTCCTTTTATTTTTTAATTTTCTTATTTACTTATTTGAAAGGCAGAGTTACAGAGCAAGACAGAGATCTTCTACCCACTGATCCATTCCCCAAATGCCTGCAACAGCCGGTGCTGGGCCAGACTGAGCCAGAGCCAGGAGCTTCATTTGGATCTCTCACATGGGAGCAGGGGCCAAATCACTTGGGCCACTTCCGCTTCCCCAGATCATTAGCAGGGAGCTGGATCAAAAGTGGAATAGCTGGGACTATAAAGGTGCCCATACGGGATGCTGGCAGGAGGTGGCTTAACCCGCTATGCCATAATGCTGGCCCCTGCTGTCTCCTTTTGATACAACCTGGAAGAATTTGAGAATTTCCTTGCTGTTTGAGGAATGCCTCTGGGCTCATCTCATTTTTTTGCTTCACATTTCAAACGGGCTATTTCTGCAATGAGCTCTAGTTTATTTTTGTGGGAAGTGGTATCTAAAAGTTACCATGTGGATATTGATATTCTCTTTAATATTAGAGTGTTAATATGCCAAGGTGTTTCATCATACATACAAGGAAATTTTTAGAGAATAAAAATTAAGTTATAAATGCAAGTCGTCTTTAATGTTGCAGAGTTGTTCCTTTGATTTTTTTAAAGATTTATTTATTTATTTATTTGAAAGACAGAGTTAGAGAGGTAGAGAGAGAGAAAGAGAGGTCTTCCATCTGCTGGTTCACTCCCCAAATGGCCCCAACAGCTGGAGCTGCGCCAATCTGCGCCAAGCTTTTTCCGGGTCTCCCACGTGGGTGCAGAGGCCCAAGCACTTAGGCCATCTTCCACTGCTTTTCCAGGCCATAGCAGAGAGCTGGATCTGAAGTGGAGCAGCCAAGACTTGAACCAGTGCCCATATGGGATGCTGGCACTGCAGGCAGTGGTTTTATCTGCTGTGCCACAGCACCAGCCCCTCTCTGATTTTTTTTAATTTAATAATTATATGTTTTTTGTTTCACACCAAAAAAAGAAAACCCTTGCTTCCAATGACATTGATGAGGTCTCATTTGTTTTACCCTAGAGTGTACATGTCAAAATTGTGAAGCAATATTGTTACTTCTTACAGTTTATAGTTCTTTATGATTTTGGTTTTTGTCTATAGGACAAAATACATTTTTGGTCCCTTGAAACCATCCTTTGTGTGAGTGTGGTTATGCCACCAACCTGATCCGTAGTTAGGTTCATTTGCTTCAGTTTGCTTTCATTTTACACTGATTGCTTTTTAAACTTTTTTTAAAAAAATTTTAAGATTTATTTTATTTATTTTAAAGAGAGGGAGAGACAGAAAATCTTCCATCCACTGATTCACTCCCCGAATGGCCGCAGTGGCCGGAGCTAAGCTGATCAAAAGACAGGAGCCAGGAGCTTCTTCAGGGTCTCCCACGTGGGTGCAGGGGCCTAAGGACTTTGCTCATCCTCCACTGCTTTCCCAGGTGCATTAGTAGGGAGCTGGATCAGAAGTGGAGCAGTTGCAACTCAAGCTGATGCCAGGGGCCAGGGCTTTAACCTGCAGCACCACAGCGCCAGCCCCTAAAATTTTTTTTAAATTTTAAAATTTTATTCATTTCAGAGTCAGACACACACAGACAGAAGTTCCCATGTGTTGGTTCACCCCACCAAATACTCCCAAAGGCCAACACTGGGCCAGGCCAAAGCTGGGAACTTGGAGCCAGGAACTCAACCCAGGTCTTCTATGTGGGTGGCAGGAACCCAGCTAGCAAAGACATCACCTGCTGCCTTGGAAGGTCTGCATTAGCAGGAAGCTGGATTCAGGAGCAGAGCCTGGAGTCAAAGCCAGACACACTCTGCTGTGGGATGTGTGTGCTAATCGCCACGCCAAACACTTGCCCCACCATTTTGACTGTAATGATGTAAAACTTTACGTGCCTCCCCACTGAAAAAATGGTCTGTGTATAGCCAGGGCCATCGTGCACTTCGGTCCCTGATGTCTCCACTTTATTCCCTCCTTTCTCACACAGATAAACGTTTTAAAAAAACTATTGGCAGGGACAGGCATTGTGGCACAGTTGGTTAAACTGCCCCCTGGGATGTCAGCATCCCAAATTGGAGTATGAGTTCGAGTCCTGGCTCCTCCACTTCCAATCCAGCTTCCTTCTAATGCATCCTGGGAGGCAGCAGGCGATGGCTCCCACCCACGTGGGAGACTGGATGGAGTGCTGGCTTCCTGGCCTTGTCCTGGTTGCAGGGATTTGGGGAGTGAACCAGTGGATGGAAGATCTCACCCTCTGTGTGTGTGTGTGTGTGTGTGTGTGTTTGTAACTCTGCCTTTCAAGTAGATGAAAATAAAGAAAGGAATCACTGGTTTGGGTTTCTCCTGGCACCGCCTTCCGTTTCTGGGGTGTGATAGAAACAAGATTTTCCATCTGGGCCCGGAGTGAGCGGAGAGTCCACTCACTCACGTTTATTGAGCTTTCTCTGAGAGCGAGAAGGCAGTGGGTGACGGGGACGGCAAGACTGGCGAAGCATGGTAGAAAAACAGAACACCGAGTTTATAGTTAGGTAAAAATGTTAAATGTTAGAAAACGTGAGAGCCATCAAACAGAAACCAGAGCACCCTCTGCTGGCCTCGGCCGTCCGGTTCAATGGCTTCCCTACGGGGGGGGGGGGGGGGGGGGGGGCTCGCTCTGACTTCCCTCCCAGCACTGCTTCTCCGCCATTGAAAAGGCAAGTGCCGTGCTTTCTGTTGTCACTCTGCCAAAGCTGTGACAGGACAGACACTGCCCTGGCATTCGAGGGGCTTCGTTACGTGCACAGTTCGGTGGACGGGGGGAGCAGCGCAGGACAACGTGGGGAGGATGCGCACTCCCGGCGTCTGCTGCCTACCAGCTGTGCGTGCTCCAGCAAGGGTCTCAACCTCTCGGAACCTGAAAGATGAGACGGGTGGCATCCGATTCCCAGGGCTGCTCTTGGAGGCCTCAGTGTTGGTTGTGTGTCCAGCTCAGGATGCGTGGTGCCGGCCCTACCTATTGGCGCTCGGTACAAACCAGCGACCGCTAACGTTATTCCTACCTGCTCATTTCCTTTTTGTTTGACAGGAAATTTGTGAGAACCCCCGATTTATCATTGGTGGAGCCAACAGAACCGACATCTGTCAAGGAGACCTAGGTAGGAGCGCCCTGCCTGATGATCTGGGGTGACAGAGGTGTGGTCCCTGCCCAGGAGGAAAAGGGACAGCCATCTGTGAGGGTGTGCGATGAAGCGTTGGCCATTGCCTCGTTGCCTCCCACGTCTCTCCTTAGTACTTGGCCCCCTGCCCAGCCTCAGGGCCACCTCCCCTCCCCACTCGGCACAAGAGCCCGGCTTTCCCTGTCCCCCTTCCTCCCAAGTCCGCCTGTGTACCCAGCGTGCCCTTGGGCATGGAGGAGTTGTGCACACACAAAAAGCACCTGACCAAGAGGTGCACACGTCACCTGACGTGCCCTTTAAACTGCCCCCAGCGGCTCACCTCAAGGGAGTCTGGTGAGAAAGCTGCCTTTTGCCGCGTGCGTGAGCGTCTGGTGCTCTGTGTGCATCGCATGGTCTGTGGTGGGGACTGCAGGCCAGCTCAGCAGAGGAACTGGCAAGACCCTCCACTCGCAGGGAAAGGGCCCCTGGGATGCTGTGAAAGGGCCTTAGCCTGCCCGGCTCCTGAAGGAGAGGCCAAGGGGAAACTGGGATCCGGGCCCTGCACCGGAATGAGGGGAAGCTGCCTGCAGGGCCCCGGGCAAGTCCGAACACGCTGGCCCCTTAAACCAGGCCCCTGCTTCCAAGGAATGGAGGGGCAGGGCAAGGCAGGGCAGGGCAAGGCAGGGCAGGGCGGGGCGGGGCCAGGCGGCTCCAGCAGCTCTCAGCCTCCCCTCTCAGTGCAGACCCCAGGGCTGTCAGGGTGGCCGCTGTGCCCCCTCGGCATTCTCCCTCCACCTCCCTTTCTCTGCCCCCCTCCCCCTTCCTCCTCCGACCCCCATCTCTCCGGCTCTCTCTCTCACACGCATGCGCACACACACAGCGCAAAGTGCTGCCCAAGACCACGCAGAGTCCTCTGCCCAGAAGGAGGGCCAAGGCATCAGTGTCCACGTCTCGTTCCCTCAGCAGCCGTGTCTTAGTGTCCCCTGTGACCGGTTCTGAGACAGCTGCCTAAGAGCTTTGCTTACGATTCAGATCTGCTCAGTTGACGATAACCGGAAGCTTGGTCTCTGCCAAGGTCAGACGGGGAATGGACTCCGATCCTAAAGGTGTGGGGCAGGGTGGATTCCCTGCAGGTGTTACCAAGAACAAGCCAGTCACGTTCACCTCCTGCCGTGTCTCCCTGGAGGTCCAGTAAAGAAGTGGGTTCCTCTTGCAAGAGGAGGAACTGTGGTCTTCAGGCAAAGGTCACATCACGGGGGTGGGGTGGGGGAGAGTGCGTGACCCTGTGGATCGTGTCAGTGGATTACAGCCAAAGTCTCCCTCCATGCTTAGATCCAGAACAGCTCACTGAGCACCAGGTGAATCCTTGTTGTTCGGAGCAGTGAAACGGGTGATGGGAGTGGGGTCCTTGTGTTCCCTGGAGGGCAGCCCCCCACAGCCTGTGCCGTGTGTTTGCTGCAGGGGACTGCTGGTTTCTCGCAGCCATCGCCTGCCTGACCCTGAATGAGCGACTGCTTTTCCGCGTCATCCCCCACGATCAGAGTTTCACCGAAAACTACGCAGGGATCTTCCACTTCCAGGTGAGGCAGCGAGGGTGTTGTGTGCAGGGCCACCTGCAGCCCACCCGCCACTGGGCTCCTGGCCTTGGCTTCCTGGAAGCTCCTGGGAAAGTCCTACCCTCCCCGAGCTGTGAGAGTGGGCAGGGATCCCCTTGCTGCTGCCGCTCCCCGCACACCTTCCACTGTGTTCCGTAAGGGCAGGAAGATACCTGTTTGCTGGCTGGTGGCTGTGCTTTTGCTCCCCGCTGGCTGGCTGCAGTGTTGCTGCCTACAGCCCTTCTCAAACAGGTGCCCCAGGGATTTGCACCAGGATGACCTCAGGCAGGTGTCAGCTGCAGAGGGGACCAGGCCCATCACTCACCTCTTCCAGGCCTGGGAAGAACCAGTCTGGCCAATCCGAGGATCAGGCTTCTGGTCTGGTCCAGCGTTGAGTCTCTTGGTTCCAGAACCACTTCAGCCATTGGAAGTGTTCTGGGTCCAAACTGTCCCAGAAGACAATCAGGTCCTGGTGCTGGCCCAGAACCAAAGTGAACTCCCTGTGTGTGGATTGTGCAGGCTCCGGGATTTTGAGGAGTCTATCTGTCTCCATCCTTCAAGGCCCCTTCATGTCCTGGGATGACCCAGGCATCAGCTGATGTATCTGGTGCTATTGAACCTCAGGTCTGATTTGCCCCGCCCCCCGCCGGGCAGGGGTTCTAGCGACAGCTGCCCTCAGCACACAGGCCAGGCAGCAGAGCTGGTGCTGCTTGGGGACAGAGGGCCCGTGCGCACTGTGGGATCTGAGGACCTGACTCTGCTCGCTTCTGTGCAGTTCTGGCGCTATGGAGACTGGGTCGACGTGGTCATTGACGACTGCCTGCCAACGTACAACAATCAACTGGTTTTCACCAAATCCAACCACCGCAATGAGTTCTGGAGCGCTCTGCTGGAGAAGGCTTATGCTAAGTAAGGCCGAAGGGGGAGGCAGGGGGTTGCAGGAGCCAGCCAAGAGCAGGACAAGGCACGTGTTCACGTGCACGCACGTGTGTGCTCACCGGGACACGCTGTCAAAGAGCCTGGTGTGCAGCCAGCAACAATCTAAGTAGAAATGAAGATCTGTGGGGGGAATCTTGAGCTCCCCACAGTGGGCGCTTCAATCCTGCCTGCACGGTGGCGTCGCAGATCTGAGATCAGAGCATCGTGTCTCTGGAGCTCAGGTCCCTGGGTCTTGCTGGGCCAGGCATGGCCTCACGAGCTTGTAGTCATGCTGTTCCCCACCCCACTTATATTCTCTCTCTCTCACACACACACACACTCGCACATGGAGGCTCCACCCCAGGTGCCATGCAGCCCCACCTCAGGGCTCAGGATGTAGGAGAAGGGTAAACACCAGAAAGTGGGAAGGATGGGGACCCATCCCGGTGCCCTTGGCCTCCTGAGCTCAGCTGTGTAGTTGTGAAGATGAGGCGATGGGGGGTCGATGAGCTAACATGACCCAGAAGTCCCTGAGTCATGTTGCCTGGGGCTCTGTGACCTGGCTGGTCTCCATCCTCTCCCCCAGGCTCCACGGCTCCTACGAGGCTCTGAAAGGTGGGAACACCACCGAGGCCATGGAGGACTTCACAGGAGGGGTGACGGAGTTTTTCGAGATCAAGGACGCTCCGCGGGACATGTACAAGATCATGAGGAAAGCCATCGAGAGAGGCTCCCTCATGGGCTGCTCCATCGATGTAAGTGTGGCGGGGGTGTGGGGGGGCAGGCCACGTTTTCCTCCATGGATGGCAGCAACAGAGCTTGTGTCTGGGACGGGGTGAACTTTTTGTGTGAGGAAGCCGAAACTGGCTCTTGCTTAGAAAACTGGGAATTTCTCCAAGGGGTAGAGACTCTGGGGATTTCCAGCGAAGATGGCAAGGACATTCCAAGCCCTGGTTTTAGGTCAGAGTTGATCCAGGGGCTCCATCGTGGGCTGTGTCCTGTCGGGGCTGCTCAGCTGACCACACGTTCAGCTACGGGCCTGAGCGCCCCATCTTGCTGAGCAAGCCTCCCGGTCCCTGAGCCCGACCGCATCCCCTGCCTGGGACAGGGGCTTTGTGCGGTTACCCGGGAGAAGCTCGCCCGCGGTGTCCCTGTCGGGGCAGCAAGGTGGCAGGAGCTGCCATGGCAGTCCGTGGCCCGGCCTCCTGGGTTCTACCACTACTCAGTGTGTAACAGCCTTGGTCATTTCCACTGTGGAGGGGTGGGGCGTGTAGCTAATACCTTCTCCTTTCCAGGCAGGGGAAGCCTGGAGGTCAGTTAGCACGAACGCCGCAGGCGTAGCGTCCACCTGTTTTGCCTCTCTGCGTCTCCTCCAAGCGCGCTCTATTGATCTCTCTTCTCCTTTGTCTGTCCCTTCCCCTGCCTCTACTTCCTTCCCTTTCCACCCTCCTGTGTGTGCTCTCCGCCCTCTCCGGGGTTGTCCCTGGCCTCCCCGTCGGGTCTCAGGATGGCACGAACATGACCTATGGAACCTCTCCTTCTGGTCTGAACATGGGGGAGTTGATTGCGCGGATGGTGAGGAATATGGATAACTCGCTGCTCAGGGACTCAGACCTCATCCCCCGAGCCTCAGAGGACAGCCCGACACGGGTGTGTACACTCCCTGTTGTCCTCACCCGCCTCCCCTCTGCTGCATGCCCTGCCCAGTCCACGTCAGACTCCCCTCAGCAAACAAGACGAATTCTCCCCGCTTGGAACACTGTTCTGGTGAACAAGTCCAGGTCCACCCCCTGCAAGCCCCCCCCCCCCCCGGCTTATGTTGTAGCCCTTTTAGAAAGTACCTAGGCTCAAGGAAGATGCCCGAGCCATGTGTGAAAACACGGAGGAAAATGTATCCTGTGTTTTCCTTACAATCAGTCGACGCTGCTAAATGCCCTCCCAAGATTGTCTCCTGTACACAATGACGTGGCTTTAAGAATGTTACGCAGCATGTACCTCTTGGCAACCTCTTCCACTTGGCTTTCTAGTCTTACTGTGCTGATGAGTATTCTCCTCTCACATCTTTAGTAGCTGCATAATATTCCAGTGTGCAAACGCATTATCACTTACTTGCCCATGACCCTCTCATCAGAAGGTTAGAGTCCCCCCCTTTTTTTTCCTCCTTTTTGGCTACTATCCCAAGCTCCAGATTCATTCACTTTTGTGTGTATCCGTGATGGTTTCCACAGGACAGAGTCTCAGCAGTGGCACGCAAGGGTTATCAGTGCCCAACAAGGCATTTGCAGGTAGCTTTCCAGGTTTAGAGGTAGGGACGAGCGAGTCTCCTGCCTGCTCCCTTGTTCGGCACGGGCTGGGTCATGGGAGAACTGCAACCTGGGAGAAGCTGGGAAGCCAAAAAGCCCGGGCCTGCCCACACCCATTGCCCTGAAATGCACCAGCTGACACCGCGGACAGCCTGGCTGGGGCTCCCAGGGCTGTGGTGGCCCTGCCCTCCCACCAAGCATCTGCCTGGCTGCAGCTGGGTGATCTCTACAGACAGAAGAGCTATACCCATCGTGCTAGACCCCGTCCTGTCTGGGCAGGGCTGTCCTCAGAATTCTGTATAATGACACATTCTAGGTGGGTGTGTGGGAGGGGAGGGTATGAAAGAAGAAAGGTTAGACCTACGACGAGGGTACTTCAAAGGATTCATGGGAAAGATGGAATTCAAAGGAAGGTTTACTTTGGTGCAAAATTTTTGAAACCCAGCCTAAGGGATGCAGAAAGGAGGGCCAGGGACACTGTTGGCCACCTCGTGTTCCTGCTTCCGTGGGGAGGGCAGGGCCTTCTCCGAGCCACCAGCTTGCATGGGTTTGTGTCTTGCTGACGTCCTTAAAGGGCCAGTAAGGGCTGCTCCTGGTGGTGAGGCGCTGTCAGGGAGCAGCATAGTCCTTGTTCTCAGAGCCCAGAAAACCACGCATGTGAGCTTTGCAAACAGCAGTGCTCTCGCTGCCAAGTGCGATGGCCTGACTGTTGGTGTTTGCTCCCCAGACCATTGTTCCGGTCCAGTATGAGACGAGAATGGCCTGTGGGCTGGTCAAAGGTCATGCCTACTCCGTCACTGGGCTGGAGGAGGTGAGCATGACAGGGCTGGCAGGGCTTGGGGACCCACTCAGGTTGACCTCCTGAGGTCAGGACTTGGCTTTCTGTGCCCCCTCTCGGCACTGGCACCCAGCCAGGGGTTCCACACAAGGTCAAAGCCAAGTGCCTGGGGGTGGAGGGGCCCGTGGGAACACCCACTCTAGCTTTGCTTTTAGTGCCAAGGATGCCAAGTTTCCAAGAAACCAACAGAAATACCACTTATGTATTGCCCAGTTGGTCTCAAGTGTTCTCTCATTTCTTGCTCTCAAACTGTGTTGCAACAGTTTCAGGGTTTGTTCCTCCCTGGGACTTGCGGGCTTTCCTGGGTCATGAGAGGTGGGGGCCTCATCAGGCCTGAACAAAAGCTTGGGCAGCAGGCGGCCGCGGTCGGCACTGCCCGCTGCAGCAGAGTGGAGGAAGGGGCGCTGTTTCTCACTGGGTCGTCTGGAAGCAGCTGCCGTCCTCAGCCAGCAGGGGTCTTCTCGGACCGTGCACCCAGCTCTCTAAGTTGTCAGGAAGGCCCTACCTTATGTGCCGGCCTCCTCTGAGGAAAATCTCTCCTGGAAAGAAACTGAGGGGCGGCCATGCCCTGGCTCCTGCAGACTGAGCCCAAGGCTCTGACCCTTACCCTGCCACCCCTACAGCGAGCTCCTGATTAGTCTCCTTGGCCCGGGCCAGGCAGGACAGCCCCCACCCCACCCCCATGGGGCTTCACTCCTCATCCCCGTCCCAGCCCTCAGGGCAGGACAGAAGACCCCCTTTCTAGAAGGCTCCAGCGAGTGAGAGCTGCTTCTCTCTGCCCAAGACCCTGTTCAAAGGCGAGAAGGTGAAGCTGGTGCGGCTGCGGAACCCCTGGGGCCAGGTGGAGTGGAACGGCTCTTGGAGTGATGGGTAGGTTGCCCCGAGGGAGCGAGGCTTGAGCTGGGCCCTGCCCTGGGAAGGCCCTCGGCTGCCCGTCAGTTGTCCCCTCCGCTGGCCCCAGCTCGCCCTCACAGCTGGGCCGTCCAGCCTTGATCTACTTGCTGCTGTCAGCTCCATTGTGGCGGCTGCTGACGGGGGCGGGGGGGCAGCTCTTGGTCACTCACGGAGCCTCCCCTGCTGTGTCCCTCCGGTGGGTCCCAGCAGCTGCATTGCCTCGTGGTCCTCTCAGACTCCACACGCTTCCTTGAGCCCTTACCTTTCCAGGGACAGCCCCCATCTCGTTGAATTCTCCTCAGTGAGCCCAACACACAGGGGCTCCATTTCTGCCCCAGGGAGGAGAAACGGTATAAAGACCTCCCAGCCTCTAGCCAGCAGGAGCAGATGCCTGGTCTTTTTCTCAGTAGGGCTCAGGACAGGCGCTAAGCTAACAGCTTGGTAGCAGGATTTCATCTGCTCGTCCCAGCCCTGTGAGTAATGAACTCTTCCCCCTCCTGAAGCCGGGCCTGACAGGTGATGTGACTGGCCCAAGGTGACACAGCTCGTGCTGTCATGGGATGGAAACCCGTTTGCTTCCAGAGCCCAACTCTTTTAAGATTCATTTACTTATTTGAGAGACAGAGTTGCAGAGAGGGAGAGACGGGAAGAGAGGTCTTCCATCTGCTGGTTCACTCCCCAGGTGGCTGCAATAGCTAGAGCTGAACTGATCTGAAGCCAGGAGCTTCCTCTGGGTCTCCCACTCAGGTGCCAGTGCCCAAGCACTTGGGCTGTCTTTCGCTGCCCTTCCAAGCCATAAGCAGAGAGCTAGATTGGAAGAGGAGCAGCCAGGACTCGAACCGGTGCCCACATGGGATGCCAGTGTCAGATGAAAGCTTAACCTACTACGCCACAGCACCAGAGCCCAGCTCTTCATGTTTAAAGTGTTAGGAGGAGCAAAGATCGAGCCGGGGAAGGGCCTAGCCCTTACACATCCACTTAAAGGGCTCAGTCTTAAAGTGGAGGGAGCGGGAGGCAGGGACCGGGTTTTGCAGAGGGTGGCAGACGGACAAGCGTCCCCGCGGTTCCCACGGGCCGCAGTGTGGGGTCAGGGTGCTCCTTCAGCTGTCCTGTATCCCGTATCCCCGACAGCGCCTGGTCCAACCCCCGTCAGGCCCTCCTGCTTTCTTCCTTTCACTCTCACCTGCTTTCCCACCAGCTGGAAGGACTGGAGCTTTGTGGACAAAGACGAGAAGGCGCGCCTGCAGCACCAGGTCACCGAGGACGGCGAGTTCTGGTGAGAACACGGGGCTGGGCAAGGCGTGGGCAGAAAGGTGGAGGCTCAGTCGGGCTCTGGGCCTGGTCGTCTGCTCCCAGTCCAAGGGCTGCCCAGAGGAGGATCTGGGAGGAGCCCCCTGGTCTCCATGACGACCAAGGCCACGCAGCGTGGCCTCTGCCTCCCTGTGCCCGCCGCCGCTGCACCCAGTCCAGCCGCACTTGCCCCCTGGGCAAGTGCTATCGGGAGTGCAGGAAGCTCTACTTGCCTGACCTGCCAGCGCCACCGTCACTCGCCCTCAAGCCCCAGCTCCAAGGGGAACTTCCCTCAGGACAGCTGAATCTGGCGGGACTGGGATTCATTTACCTGTGATGCTCGTCACCCTTGACATTGTTTGCCGTCCCTTCCCAAACAATCCCTTTGCCCGGGGCCAGCACTGCGTCCAGTGCCCAGTGGCGGGGCACACGGCACCTTTCTGGAGACCTGGATTTGTGTGCAGTTTCCATCCGGGATGCAGGAGTTAGCATCATGAGTGGGAGAGAGGAGAGTCTAGGGTTAGATAACGTCAGAACTGACAGTGTTTACCCTAAAAGGAAGGGGCAGCGTCCACAGGGGCCTCGGCCAAGCGCCTGAGGACTGCTGCATGGCGCGGCGTGAGCCCGGCGGCCTTCCCTTGCCCAGCCTCTCCGCACCATCACCATCTGCTCGCTCTCTCCTTCCGACCTCTCAGGATGTCCTACGACGACTTCGTCTTCCATTTCACAAAGCTGGAGATCTGCAACCTCACGGCCGACGCCCTGGAGTCAGACAAGCTGCAGACCTGGACGGTGTCCGTGAACGAGGGCCGCTGGGTGAGGGGCTGCTCCGCCGGGGGCTGCCGCAACTTCCCAGGTGCGCTGACCCGCTCAGGGAGGGGACGCGGGCTGTCCTGGGCTGAGCGCCGCCAGGGACTTAGCAAAGCCCGAGGAGGACCCTGCTACACTCAGGAGTTGACAACAGGGAGCTGGAGGCAAAGCTTATTTTATTTTATTTTATTTTATTTTATTTTATTTTATTTTATTTTATTTTTTAAGATTTATTTGTTCGAAAGGCAGTTAGAGAGGGGTAGGGGAAGACAGAGACCTGCTAACAATTTTTCAGCAGCAAACTGATTCAGAATGATCCCAGCACGGTAGTGGCGGACCGCAGTGGAGACAATGCAAATCTATACCAGGTCGTCAGCAGAGGCGGGGTGAGGGCAGGTTTATGGGAACACAGAGGGGGCAGTGCGGGGGAGGAAGCCTGATGAATGGCATCCCAATCCCCAGTCTGGGCCTGACTGGGCAGCGTCTGCTCTGCAGGGGAGGGAAGAATTGGGGGAGGGGAGTTTAGTTGGGACTTGAGACCTGGGAGGTGCCTACGGGATACCCAGGTGAAGATTCCTCATGGAGGCAGAGGCATGTTAGAATGGCCCGTGGTTAGATAAGAACCCAGTCTATCTGGGAGGGAGGGGAGTGAAGGGAGATGGAGACTGGGGTGCGTAGCTGAGCCGTCACCCACGTGTTGGGGCGGTTCAAGAGGAGAAGCCAGTGAGACTGCCTGAGGGGGGCAGGCTGGGGGATGCGGTGAGACAGCCAGATCCGGGGAACCGTGGCGCTGACCTGACTGGACCGCTGAGGCACGCGAAGCCAGCAGCAGAGTCGGAGAGGAGGGAAGAACTGCACGTCCAGGCGGCGCAGCCTCAGCTCCGCGCCCTCCCCTGCCTCGGGTTCCCCATGACTCTGTAGTGAGCGCCCAGATGCAGGGTGTATTGGTGGTGGTTCTTTAGAGCGAGAGATCCACGAGGACAGATGGACAGATGGACAAGGAGACAGATGGACGCGAGGGGATTTACCAGAGGATTTATTGATCGTGGAGTGATTATGGAGGCTGAGAAGTCCTACCCCAGGCCTTCGGCAGCTGCAGACCGGGGGACGCCAGCAGCGTGGCTCGGCCCAAGCCTAAGGGCTCAGCATCAGGGAGCCGCTGGTGTAATTCCCATCTGAGGGCCGAGAGGCTGGGGGAGGTAGATCCTGGAGAGCAAAGGCCACAGGGTCTGGGCTCCTGACCGCCAAGGGCAGAGTGTTGCAGCTCCAGCACGCAGAGGGGACCCGCCCTCGGCCTTTCTGTGTGTCCCAGCCCCCTGAACGGCGCCCATCCCACGGAGGCCCGATGTCCCACTCCGTGCCCGACTCGCAGCCCCCTCCCCTGCAGACACATGGGGGAAGGGCCCTGCTGGCGCTCTCAGTGTGCCGTATCCCCAGAGTGACCTGCCACCTGGGGAACAGGGACAGGAACAGGTCCCCCTACCCACTTCCCCTCTTCCCCTTTCTCCAAGAGGCAGCCCTGAGTGTGCGTTTGCTTTCTCGGGGTGCAGACACTTTCTGGACCAACCCCCAGTACCGTCTGAAGCTCCTGGAGGAGGATGATGACCCCGAGGACTCCGAGGTCATCTGCAGCTTCCTGGTGGCCCTGATGCAGAAGAACCGGCGGAAGGACCGGAAGCTGGGGGCCAACCTCTTCACCATCGGCTTCGCCATCTATGAGGTGTGCAGCCCATGGCCGGCTCCCACTCAGGAAACTTGACTTTCCCAGCAAGGGGGCTTTCTGGGCTCCCAGAGGGGTCCTCTGGCTTCCCCCAGGCTCGGTGAGCCCGCTGGTGTGGGAAGCAGGGCAGCACGGCCCGGCTGGTGGGGCCATGGTGACCACGCGGACCACACGGACCACGCGTCTGCATCCTTCTGCCCTTGTGGGCATTCCGCCCTGCAAGCTCTCCCCGCTCATCCTCACCGGAAGCACCCTCTTTTTCTGTTTCTCCTCCAGGTTCCCAAAGAGGTACAGCAGTGGCAGCGGCCAGCCGTTGTGGGGAGCATGTTGCCCCGGGGGCTCGGGTCTGTCTGAAGCTTCCTGGTGGGGTTCGCGGGCAGGACTGTGATAGGACAAGGCCCTTGCTGGCCTCACATCCCCTGCAGAGCAGACAGGAGCAGTGACTGCCACCTCCACAATGAGTGCCATCTGCCTCCCCCCACCAGACACGCTGCCCTTCACACACACACACACACACACACACACGCCTCGCACCGTCGCACAGATCCGTCCTCAGGGTAGCTGCCCTCTTGGGGATAGAGGGATCAGCTCCCTCAGAACCCAGCCAAGACCCCTCCGTCTCCTTGGGGGCCTTCCCAGCCGGAGGGGACTCGGAGCTAACAAGCAGCTGCTGGGTAAGTGGCGCCGAGGGTGGGGATGATGGACTTGACTCGCACTTCTGAGTCACAACAGAAAAGGAGGTGAGGTCGGGAACTCAGGGATGTTGAGCTATTTGAGGCCGTGGGACTCGGAAGTAAGCGGTTCGAGACCCGGAAGTGGGTGATCAGGAAGTTGGGTAGGGGCCCTGGAGGGGACTGGGAGGACAGGGTGCCCTCCCCCAGGCTCCGGCCCCACGGGCTCTCCCATCTCCCAGATGCACGGGAACAAGCAGCACCTGCAGAAGGAGTTCTTCCTGTACAACGCCTCCAAGGCCAGGAGCAAGACCTACATCAACATGCGGGAGGTGTCCCAGCGCTTCCGCCTGCCCCCCAGCGAGTACGTCATCGTGCCCTCCACCTACGAGCCCCACCAGGAGGGGGAGTTCATCCTGCGGGTCTTCTCGGAGAAGAGGAACCTTTCTGAGTGAGTGCCAGCCTAGCTTCCCATGCCAGCCCCTCCCCTCGGAGAGATGGGAAGTGGAGGCAGCTGGGCCAGGCCGCACCTCTTCCCCACTCCCGAGGTCCAGCCCCGGGTCCTGGCCCGGCCACCATCTACTCATCCATTTCCTCACTCATCCCAAATACGTTCCAGGCACTGGGGATGGAGCAGCGAATCGAGAGACCCCTGCGCTCAGGGCGTTAGCATCCTAGCAGGGGACAGGAGCCATTTCCCACGTTACATTTGGAGAAGTAACAGGACACAAAAAGCAGAGGATAGGAGAGGTTGGGGGTGACTGAAACATGACATTCTTGTGGCCAGGGAAACCAGCCACATCTGCCCTTGGTCCTTGGCCTCTACAGACAAGATCGTAGGCCCTGCCACTCTGATCCTTGTCCCCAGAAGCAGTGTGATGTCTGTCCATGGTAGGTGTCTGGGCAGCACCAATAAGACCCCAAGTCCCTGAGCTGGCAGCTGGGGCCGTGCCTACTTGGCTCTGGTTCCTGGAGTGGGGGATGCTAATTACAGGGGTTCTACTGAGGTTAACCCTGACTTGGCCACTGAGAAAGCCACATGACCTAAACAAATCCTCCGTGTGCTTCCACTTGTTGCTGTGCCACTGAAACACTAAGACACATATTTGGTTCCTCACAGGGAAGTTGAAAACACAATCTCCGTGGATCGCCCAGTGGTGAGTGGTTTGGCTCTTTAAGAAAAAATGCATCTGTGTGTGTGTGTGTATTTAAGGGCAGAGCAAGAGAGTGTGAGCAAGCAAGCTTGTTCTTCCATCTGCTGGTTCACTCCCCAAATGATCACAGGAGCCAGGTCTGAGCCAGGCTGACGCCAGGAACCAGAAACTCCATCCGGGTCTCCCACATGTATTGCAGGGGTCCAAGTACTTGGGCCCTCATCTGTTGCATCCCAGGTGCATTAGCAGGAAGCTGGATAGGAAGTGGATTAGCCAGGACTCCAACCTGGCACTCGGATATGGGATGCCAGCATCCCAACTGGAGCTGTAACCCACTGCACTACCATGTCAGCCCATTTTATTTTTATGATTACTTTTTCTTTAAGCTCTTAACAAGTTTGTTCCCCGATCCAGGCAGGAGATGAGTGGTGGTGGAGAGGGGGCCGGAGTGTGCAGTCACTTCCCTGGGACTGTCCCTTCTGCTTGGCATGGCAGAAGTAATGCGTCATTCTGTCAGTTCAGGGCCTGGGATGGATTCAAGAGGGGAGGAGCAGTCCAACAATCAGAGGGAGGGCATAAGGCTGTCGGAATTTAAGACAAAAACGGTGGCTAACACTGGATTGAGGCTGAATATAGAGGGGGGAAAAAGTGTGTACCAGCTCTGGACCCAGCATCGAAACCTGGGTCTTTTCCCAACCAGCTGGCTGATCTGGACAAGTGATGTGACCCCTCAGTCCCCTGCTCTGTAAAATGAGGGTAATGACAGAATGCCTTGCGAGGCCTTAGTGAGGTCTAAATGCAGGAGATCCTGTGTGTGAAGCCCCTGGCACCGCGTGGGCACGCGCATGGAGGGAGCTGGGGCCCAGTGGGGTTTAAATGACTCCCACCCACGCCGAGGCCTGCCCTGCAGGGAGAGAAGCCCAGTGGACAGCCCAGCCTATGAGGCTCTGGGATCTATGAGTAAACAATCCCTGTGACCAGTCGGCAGGGGGACAATGCTCCGCTGGACTGCCTTCTGCAGTGACTTCACGTGCATCTCGACCCTGGGGCCGATCTCCAAGGGCCTCCTGAGTCATCCCCCACAGCTGGTGTTAGCATTAGGTTCTTTCCTTGCCTCTGGTAATCAGTGTGCAGAATTTATCAGGAGGTGCAGGCTCAAAACCTTGTGGGAGCTGGCCCGTGGCCTGAGGAGAGCAGGCGTGTGTGTGTGTGTGGAGGGGGGGAGGGTTGGTGTCTGTCTGCAGCTCTCAAGTGACACCTGGTTCAGTGCTGGCGGGGCTGCAGGGGGGTGACTTCGGCCGTCTGGCCGTTCTCAGCTCATCTGATCCTGACCGCAGGGAGCTCCAGGCTCACTGCCGCCTGGCAGGTCTGCTAATTTTACCAAGACAGCCCAAACCCCATTTCTCCCTGTGTTACATGTTTGCTCAGAAATATTTTTTAAATATGTCAAAATTCATTTTTAGGACAGTTTGAGTCACAAGTTTTGGTGTTTATTTCATTAAAAAAAAAAAGTCCATTTCCTCGGCTGTGGCCAGTGACAGTGGCTTACAGAACTAAAACCACAGCAGCCGCCAGGCCCTGGACGTGGAGCAGGAAGAAGTCTCCCCTCCCTTTGCCCTGCGTTCCCCTTTCTGGCCGAACGGAACCCTGATTTCTCAGCCCGAGCTCAGGCTCGGGTTATAGGAAGCTGAAAGCTGCCGGATGTTCCGGGAACTTGCTTTGTACTTATTCCACATTTACTATCTCCTTTCCTTGTGCAGAAAAAGAAAAAAAACAAGGTGGGTGTAACAGGGTGAGTGGGTAGAGCACAGTGTGTGTGTGCGTGCATGCACGGGGTGGTGTGTGTGTGCGCGCATGCGTGGGCTCCCGCACCAGGTGCTTCTCTGCCTCCTTCCCTGGGCTGAGTGCGGCAGTGACGGCCCACTTTGCCGAGGAAAGCCTACGTGCTGGGCACCCTTCAAGGTGTTTTCCATGGATGACCTCAGTCCTCACAATAGTCCTCTGAGATTTGTGGTATTACTGTCCCCTTTCCTTTTTTTTTGGAGGGGCAAAAGGTACAAGCTTGTCCAGGCTGCACAGCCAGGAAGTGGCAGAGCCAGCACTGGGAGCCAGGTAGCCCCGCTCCCGAGTCCATGCTCTGAACCACCACAGGCATCAGACAAAGCTTGGTGCTGGTGTTGATGGCAGTGCCTGGACACCTCACCCCAGGGGTCCTGTAAGCTTTGGTGCTGGCCCAGAGTGGACAGTCAGCAGGCACCCACCATGCGCAGGCACTGTGCTGGGAGTGAAACGCTGCTGTCCGGTTCCAGCGCTGTCGGTGAGGTTTGTGCTGGGTACAAGTTCAGGAACCTGAAACACCCAGTGCGTGGGGAAACCGGAACTGGAAGCCTCACTGCCTCCTCTGACACCCAGCTTCCTTGGCCTCCCCTCTCATGCCCACGCTGCCCAGCCCCACCACGTCCAACGGCACACACCCTGCCTCTGCCTGTGGCCTCCACGCACTCTGGGGTGTCCGTGAGCTTTCGCTACTCGAGCAGGACCCTTTGCTTAGAAGGCAGAGCAAGTCGGGGCCTGCTGGGCGCCATAGCTGGAGTGTTGTGGTCCCGGGTCCGCCGCTCCTAGGTAAGCTGGGTGCCAAGGCGGAGGGTCAGGCTGCTTTTCTGCTCGGAGTCTGCTCCCCAGCCCCTCGCCTGCAGCCTGGCTGGCCTTCCTGCCCCTGGCTGTCCCCGCAGGCTGCAAGCACTGCCCGGCGTCCAGCTCCTTGGGTCTCCTGCTTGCATGCATGAGCACGTCATGAAGACAGCCTTGATATCTGTGTAGCATCTGACGTGCTTCTGCAGTACTTGCATCAGCGTCTCCTACTGAGGAGGGAAAACCTGATTTCACATTGCCATTATCGGAGGCGTAAACTGCGAGCCGTCAAGATATTTCCTAAAGGCAGGGGCTCTGGCCATGTTCTGACCTCCTCCCCACTGCCCACTCATCAGTCTTCTTTCTTCTTATGTACTGGACAGGCAGAGGGAAGAGGGGGACGGAGATCTTCCAACCGTGGCTTCACTCCCCAAATGCCAGGGGCTCAGAAATCCATCCGGGTCTCCCGCGTGGGCGCAGGGCCAAGCATTTGGGCCACCTTCTGCTGCTTCCCAGGCACACTGGCAGGGAGCTGGATCGGAAGTGCAGCAGCCGGGACTCAGACACTGGTGCTCTGATACGGGTGCTGGCGTCGCAGGTGGCGGCTTCACCCTCTGCGCCGCAGCACCGGCCCCTCAGTCTTTTTTCAGTCTGTACTGGGCAGAGTCCTGGAGGCTCCCTGGCAGAGCGTCTGGTGGCCATGCTGATTGGGGAGCCGAAGGGACGGAGCTCTGCCGAGGCTTAGGCATTTTCTGGGGAAATTAAGTTGGAACGATGTTTTTGTGTCAAAAGGTCTACACAATATTTGGAAATCGGTGCACCAGATCATGCTGCTTTCAGCATTCTCATAGGTACACCACGATGGGGGCTGGGTCATCGTTAAACGGAGGTCCAGAGAGGTTTAGCATCTTCGCTCAAGTCACACAGCTTGGTAGCAACAGAGGTGGAGCTTGTCCTCTTCTTATCCGACAAAGCTGTAATTCTTCTTCCCCCCTCCCGCCCCTCCCCACTCCCCTCCTCTCTCCAGCCCATCATCTTCGTTTCAGACAGAGCAAACAGCAACAAGGAGCTGGGTGTGGACCAGGAGTCAGAGGGCAAAGACAAAACAAGCCCTGATAAGCAAGAGAAATCCCCACAGGTTTCTGAGCATGTGGCATGCATGGGGGGCTAGCGTATGACAGGGGCCTCCCACGCTCTTGGGGGTGCCTGGGGCTGGAGGGCTCCCAAGGGGGGATGTCCCTAACATCAACAGGTTTGGATTTGTCCCATTGACCCTTTCAAAATCTCAACAGACTCCCCTGAAATTAGGGATGCTACTTGGGGCATGGCTGTCACACAAACCAGGTCCTAGGACTGAAAAACAAGGCCAGGCCTCCCCACTGAAGGTTCCCACACCAGGACTGGAGAAAGAGGCAAAGCCTGAGCTAGAGCCAGCTCAGGGAGCTGAGACAACCAGCTTCCGGCTTCCGTCCCTGCGCTCTTGATAACAGGAGAAGGAACAGTAGCAGAGCTCAGGGGAGAGTGTTGCATAGGAGTGGGGACAGGTGGTCACAGAAAGCTTATGGGTCTGAGCCTAAGGGGGCTCAAGTATCCAGACAGACCCAGGGCCACCTCCTCTAGGCTGAAGCACCCATGCAGTGTGGCCTGGCTTCTCTGGTCCTCCAAAGATTTGGCTTTGATGGCCCAAGGTCGCTGGAGGAATTAGAATGGTCAGATCCCTTGTGGGGTACATTCGATTACAACATTCAGGTTCAAAACAGGGGGGAGGGCTCTAGTTGGGGGGAATGAGGGGAGGCCCCAGGGGGCTGCATGGCTCTGCGCTGCCTTGGGCTTGGGGCCAGGGCTGGAGCCACCACAGTCTAGGTGAGTGTCAGTGCAGCCCAGCTGGTTTCACTGAGGGGAGCATCTGCCCTGCACCAGCTCCTGCCGCCACCCATGGCTGCTTTAGGCGCTCGGGCTCTGTCTAGCTCTCTAATTCCTGTGATCTGGTTTCCCTCTGACCCTCCACAGCCACTCCCCGGCAACACTGACCAGGAAAATGAGGAGCAACAGCAGTTCCGGAACATCTTCAAGCAGATAGCAGGCGACGTGAGTACGCCAACCCGAGGACTCCCTCCTTGACTGGCTGGCTTAGATGAGCGCGTGGTCCTCGTCGATGCCGGTGAAGTGGGATGGACGTGTGTACGTCCTCGAGTTCTCAACTGACAGCCACGGCGCGGCTCAGAAGCCCTTTGTTCTGCTGCCCAGTGCTGTCCGGAGAGCGGAGGGGGTGGGGCTGGAGAGCCCAGCTTCCCAGGACCGCCGCGGTCGGCTGGGTCGTCCTGCAAAGCCTCAGCTCTACCAGCTCTCCTCCCTCCCTCCTCAGGACATGGAGATCTGTGCAGACGAGCTCAAGAACGTCCTTAACACAGTGGTGCACAAACGTGAGCGGCTCCAGCCGGCTGTGCGGATGGGGTGGGGTGTGCGGGGGGAGAACCAGACATCCGAGAGCGGCTCCTCACCCTTCTCTGTGCCTGCAGATCAGGACCTGAAGACACAAGGCTTCACGCTCGAGTCCTGCCGCAGCATGATCGCTCTCATGGATGTATCCTTCCTGCCACACACCCCCACCCCCTGTCGCCACCAGCCAGGCTCCAGGCAATGATAAGGGGTACCCAGTCAGCAGAGGGCCCAACGTGCGCCCCAAAGAAAGGCTTCAGGAGATCCGATTCAGAATAGCCTGCACGCTGCTCTGAAAGGGTTGTAACTGGGCCCTGCTTGTACCTCAGGTGTGGGATCCTGACAGAGTGAGAGTGGGCCCCAGGGGACAGGCTCCCTGGGTTATAGAGCAGTGAGTTCTTGTGGGGTCGCCTTCCCTGCAGTGCCCTGGACACCCCTCCCCCCAAATCCAGGGAGACTTCACTATGTGCCCTGTAGCCCTGACCTCCCTCCTCCAGACTGATGGCTCTGGAAGGCTGAACCTGCAAGAGTTCCACCACCTGTGGAAGAAGATAAAGGCCTGGCAGGTGGGACGAGAATCCATCTGGCAGAGAGGGGAGGGCCTGATTCAGGGACTTGACCTGTGACCTCTGCCCTCACTTTTTTCTTCCCAGAAAATCTTCAAGCGCTATGACACGGACCATTCTGGCACCATCAACAGCTATGAGATGCGAAATGCTGTCAAAGACGCAGGTGCTGGGGGAGCAAGGGGTAACAGGGATGTGGACTGAACTGGTGGACGTAGGAACGGGAGGGGGATGAGGCTACACCACTAAAGCCCTACTAGAGAAAGGGTTTCTCATTCTCCTTTCCTGGACCCCGAAGTGGCTTAGAGACTGAAGACAACGCAGGCCTGAGGACTCCCAGCTCGGCCTCATCTAACACGCTCCCTTCCCCAGGGTTCCACCTCAACAGCCAGCTCTACGACATCATCACCATGCGCTACGCGGACAAGCACATGAACATCGACTTCGACAGCTTCATCTGCTGCTTCATCCGGCTGGAGGGCATGTTCAGTAAGTGCAGGGCTGCCCTCCTGCTCCAAGCCTTCTAGCCACCTCCCGCGACAGCAGAGGTCTCTGCCCGATAACCCTTCCCATCTACTCCGCCCAGGCTGAACACAGGCCGAGGCTCTCTTTGGCAGAGGGAGGGTGACTGGGGAGACTCGGCAGCACAGGGTCTGATGAAGACAAGCTACAGTGGGTGCAGGGCAAGCCTGTAACTGGCCTCTGGCCTATGTGCTCTTCCACACAGGAGCTTTCCACGCATTCGACAAGGACGGAGACGGTGTCATCAAACTCAACGTGCTGGAGGTAAAGCCCACCCCTGCACCTCATCCTGCAGGCAGAGGGCTCAACAGCAGGCCTGGACCAGGGACCCACTGTGTCTCCTCACCCCCAAGTGGTGCTGGAGGAATGGGACAGGGAAAGAACATGAAGCAGAACCGTGCTAAACAGGGTGCTCTGTCCTGGGGGCAGGGGAGTCTCCAAACGGGCAAGGACCTTGTTCCTAGGAAAAATCTGGGGGGACAGGATGCAGTAAATCGCTGCTTCTTCAAAAATCTGTCTGGTGTCTGGCATGCAGGGACTGTTCCCTTTCCCCTTGCCCCACAAGACCCCGAGGGCTGGGCTGCAGGAGTTGGGATCTTTCTTCCTGTGTTCTGATTCTGGAACTTCGTCTTTCAGTGGCTACAGCTCACCATGTATGCCTGAGCCAGGCTGGCCTCCAGCACGGCCATGCAAGATCACTCAGGATTTAAACTGCACCTAGTTAGAGCCACTTACCTCAAAGGACCCAGCAGCTGCAGCTCCATCATGCCTCCAGGTGCCTCGTCGGTCTCGTTCTTCCTCCACTTTACTCCATACTCAGCCTTGGCCTGTCACACCCAGCCTGAGCCTATAGGAAAGCAGTGACTTTGGGAGAACAACTCTGTCCCTTTGCCACATGGACGCAGTGTCTGCCTCCGCCGGTTGCAGCATGGCTGAGGGCCGGCTCTGATTGTGAGCTGCCTTAGCTCTGAAGCAAATGCACCCTGGAGCTTGCCCAGGGCTGCTTGCAGAAGCATCTGCCACTGCCACTCAGCACTGTGTCCTGCTGCAGCCCTCTAAGCTCCCCTAGCCGTGGGTCAGTAACCAAGTGAGCAGCACTTGGTTCTGATTACTTTAGGATAGGCCTGCCCGGGGTAAACTACCGCGGTGGAAGAGGGCCAGATACTCAGGTTCTCTGACTCCTAAGTTTGGCTGCATTCTGAAAACAGTTGATCTAAATAAAGGCATGTGTATGGCTGGTTCTACTGGTTTCTGTTTTCTCAAACCAGCCTTGGATCAACCTATCACCCATAAAAAGCCCTAGGTGCAGAACAAAATGGAAAGGCACAAAAGCAAAACCCCAAGCCCCACTTTGATCATGCCTGTTTATGAGCATAGGAATCGCTTTTTCCCCATTAAACATAAGGAAAAGAGAAAATAGTGTGCAGTGTACACAACACCCATATTAAATGGGTCACCCATAATTTGTGGAGCCAGTTACCAGAGTGAAATGGAGCAGAGATGCTGTTTTGAGTCCTGGCTTCTCTGCAAACCAACTGACCTGTTATATGTTGGACAAACCCCTGAGTGCAGCTGTTTGCCAAACTTGTTTAAACCCTGGTCTCTGGCATGTCTGTGAGTGTTTCCTTCTTACTCTGCATGCCAAACTGGAAAAGAAGAGGGCTGATCATCAACACGCAGACAAGGAAACAAAAGTAAACAGTCAATTAGTAAAAGTACTTTATTTCCCTCTCATTTTTGCTTTATATCTTGCTTTACAAAGTTATGAAGTTCACAGCTTTATACCAAAATGTAAGAAGGCTAGGCTATTTGCTTATAAACATTTTTAAAGTCATCTCATTTCATTGTTCTCATCCATATTCAATATATAAAAATGAGAAACTAAGGGTGCTGGAGCAGCTCTAGGGCATAAAATCTTCTACAGCCTTTCCTCCGACCTCCTCCTTCCCCTATTCATATGGGCTACGACCCTGAATTCAAGAAAATCTGGGGAACTTTAGTCACCACGTGACCCAGCAGGGCCACATACTGGGTGCTGGAGGTGAGAGGCTGTAGTAGGTTTGGTTTATGAGGATTTCACATCCACTTGAATATGGAACTCAGTGTAGTCCAAATCACCTCCACCATAGCTTCTCTACCTACCTCTCAGAACACTTCTCTTAAACCCTGAGGATCCTAATGATTTGGGGCAGGGATGAAACTACCATTTCATAAAAGTGGCAGGCATGGCCTTCATAATAACAGGACAAAACTTCTATATGCATATATAGATTATAGTTAGTTGAGCAAACCAGAGTACGTGCTGTTCGAGTCTTACTGTGTAGTTCGAGCTCTCCTCCAAAGAATTCTCTTCCACAAAAAATACCAGGCCATTGCACTAAGTGTACACCTACTCCCACCAAATCATCCACATACCTAGTCACTAACATTGTCCACTGGAACATCTAGCAGGAAAAAAGTCAGAACAAAACCTTTGTTAGGCAAATAATCACTTGAACAGTAATAACATTGCCTACACACTATAGTTAGGTCAGGAGCTAAATACTCAACTGCTAACTTTTCAGAGGGAGAAAAATTTTTCTCCACAAAAGCACGAGTGTAATAGTAAGTAATGACTTTCTCTCAAGTTCAGGTAACATCAAGTCAAGATAACTGTTTTCTGTTTGCATTGTATTTTATTGTTTTGTAACTGAGGAGTATGGCAAAATATATTTTGAAACTAATTAAAAACTTTCACATAAAACTTGAAGTGGCAATTTATCAGAACAAACTGCCATTAGAACACTAGCCTATGTGTATGAAATGACTGATGCTATGAATTTCTTGGCTTTGACCCCGTAAACAAGCACAAATAATTAAGAAATGAGTGGGTTTTGCCAAGTCATTTAACAGTTTCCTTCCTTCTTCAAGCCACTCAACAGCAGAGTGTGCAGATCTCTGAGCCACAGCTCTTCTCTGAGGAGAAAAGAGGGTTGCAATCAGCAATGGCATTGTAGAAGACTTAAAAACCAAAGTTCTGCAGAACTCAGGCAATAACCAGAAGCAGCCAAGATGCTTACTGTCCCTCTATTTCTCAACAAAGGGTAAAAACAGTTCATTTGGTGTAACACACTAACCTGGTGTTGAAAACATTTTCACAGGTTCGTGAAATATAGACCTTACTGCTACTGCTTCAAAGACAACTGATGAAATGACACATACACGTTTCCCAAAGCTATACCTGAACCACAGTTCTTGCCCTGTCAGCCAGTAATTCCTTCAGTTGCCCAACACCTCTCCTCCCCCTTTCCTGCTCTATAAAGGCCCTACCACTCCTATCTCGCCAGATGCATCTGGGGGCAGAACAGGAGGACTCCACAACCAAGCTCCCAAGGCTTTCCCGGCACCTTGCCCTGCCCCTGTGCACATACAGCTTCACCCAACCCAGAGAAACGTCCCAGGTCTGGCAATAAATCCAAATATACTCCCTAAGAAATTGCCATTCCCTCCCTACCCTACCGACTTGGCTTCTCCAGTCACTTATAGGAACTGGGGGGTTAGAGGTGGGGAAAGCTCCTAAATCTAATTTAGAAACACCACAAATACATTTTGTGCAGCAAGATCTTCTCTGGTCTCTTTTACATCATGCAAATTTCAACAGAGTGGTTGACAAGAGTTTTCTCACAAGGAGAAAACAGGTGGCCCTTACAAGGGGCTGTCCATTATCCAGCAGTAGCTCCTAGATTAGCTCTTAACTTTTTTTGGATTCAGTCAGAAACACTGGAACCTTTGCTGGAAAGAACACACATTCAGTCTTGCATACAATTTCAGGGGGTTCAGACCCTCTTAAAGCCTACGCATGAACCCCTGATGAAGGCTCCCTGTCCAAGCACCTGTGAGCAGGTGTCGAGTAGACGTGGGGAGCACTCATTGCGTGGGCTAACTGGATGCTCTGCAGTCCTAGAAAACTGCAGCTCTCACATCCTGAAGCTTGAGGTGAGCCCCTGGGCCCCTCCCTCTTCTTTTTTCTATGTCTCTTCAGAATCTGAGAAACAAAAAGCTGGAAAGTAACACCTGTAACAGCTTTACTGGTCAGAGTACAGACAAAAAAATCCCAGAACACAGCAGTCCCAGTAAGACATGGTTAACTGGGTGTTCTCAATGGATGGTAGAGTCATTCCCTTCACCTTACTCCACTCTTACCACCCAGCTGCTGGGCAAGTGTGGGCAGACACTTGGTTCAGAACTAAGTCCCCAGGAAGTCCTCCACACTTCTGGAAACCCCTTACAGGCCTGGAGGAACACTGGAAGGCCTCCATCAGTCTCGGCACCAGCAGAGTGTGGGGGAGAGCGGTGCCGATGAGCAACCCAAGAATTTCCAAACCTCTATCAGGCTCGGAGAATGAGGAACTGCAAAGGAAGATAAAGGTTCATCTCCAGTTTACGACCCTGACAGGACCCGCAGCAGGGAGGCCCAGGTTGGTGTGCTGCCTCGCGGTGAGCACAGGAGTGCGCAAGGATGACTTGCTTTCTGAATTCCTAAAACGTAGTCAGCGGAGCAGCCACTCTTGGTGTTTATCAAAAATCTTGTGTGCCCTTTAGTACTGAACACCAGCTCTGTCCATTTGCAAAGCAAGAAAAGAATGAAATCCACTGTACATAATCATTAGGAAAGGAACTACTTGCTTCTGATTTAAATACTCAGTTATTACAAGTGGTAAAATTAAAACTGATCCTGAAAATCTAACATTTGGACAAACTTGTACTTAAAAGCCTAACTACAGGTTTAAACCATCATAAAAACATAAACTAACAATCAGAAACTGAAATCAATAAAATTTAAGTATGATTAGGGTCAAACTGGGTAACCAATTATGATCTGAACTTTTAATAACAACTGGAAAATACTAGCAGCATAAATCACAACATTCACACTACTGTGGAGGAGTATGATTCCTTAAACAACATTTAAATCTGTTTAAAATCTGCAGCAAGAATTTGAAGAGTAACCTGTCATTCCATAGAGCTGCCCAGACTTATGTTAGTGGTAAGCTGGCTGGTAACCACTTTCTCCTTCCTCACTTCACTTGGGAGGGGGCGAGAGTGGCATGTGTAAGGGGTCTATCTTAAAAGAGTCCAACAAATAACTTCCCAACATGGGAGGCGAAAAACTTCATGAATCGATTTTGCTGTCATCTTCAGCATGTCGTTCAATGTGTCCAGCAGCATCCTAGGAAAAGGACAAGACAAAGTCAAAGCCAAGGGAACCCATATAGGTATATCCTAACCAGGATCCACACAGTGAAGGATGTTAGGAGCCAGTACTTGGCAAATTTACATGAAACTCTGCACTGAGAGATGAGTTCTTGCCTCTGCACAAGGGCTCTGTAATAAACCCCTAAGTCTGGAGGATGCTTGTTATCCAAAACTACAATGAAGCTACCCCCCAAAATTTCTAGGCCCTCCCTCTTTATTAACAACTCTGAACACTCCAACAAAGCAGTAAAGATTGGCCTGTCTCTGCTTTGAGCAGTCTCCTGAGCCCTAGGTTCCCACTGATGTACCTGCTTGGATCCTTTCCTAGCAGTGAAAAAAGCATCGCAGTTCTTCCACCGGCATTTTAGAGTCTGAAAGTTTGGATTAGTGTGGTCAGTCAGCAAGTGTTGTTTTAAATGATCGACAACTCCAAATATCAGAGAGCAGCCGTGCCACTGGAAAGAAGGAAAGGGGATCAAGTTAGAGTGCTGTCAGCGTACAGTCAGAGCCGCCTTCACTTGCTCTTAGTAAATTCTGCAGAACAGAAAGGAAGCCCTGTTCACTGGTTTACTCTTGCTGGAAAACAGAACAGGGCAGGAACTGTGGCACAGAGGGCTAAGCTGCCACTTGTGAAGCTGGCATCCCACAGGGTCGCTGGCTCAAGTCCTAGCCACTTTGCTTCCAATCTAGCTCTCTGCTAAGGCATCTGGAAGAGCAGCAGAGGATGGCCCAAGTGTTTGGGCCCCGGCATCCATGTTGGAGACCTGGAAGAAGCTCCAGGCTCCTGGCTTCAACATGGCCCAACCCCAGCCATTGCAGTCATCTGGGGAGGAACCAGTAGATGGAAGATCTATCTCTATCTTTCTTTGTAACTGCCTTTCAAATAAATAAATCTTAAAATAAAATTAATGATCAATATCATGAAAAGACTGCAGTCTTTTGACACTTTAGTATTCTGAGACAGCAAACTGCTAGGGAAGCCAATATATTTTGTTAGGCGGGTAAGGAAAAGGTTAGACAATATTCACAAATGAGTTATCATAATATACAGATTTAATCATATTCTTTATCTTGACATCATAAAACCAAGTTTCTACCTTAGGCCATTTATTACAAAAGGCAAAGAGCTTTCCTATTATACTGAAAAAGGTTACATTTAATAACTCGAAGAACTGTCAACTTATAAAACTGAAAACAGAAATGTCGCATAAAGAAAACTACATTTGTGGCCGGCGCCGCGGCACAATAGGCTAATCCTCCGCCTGCGGCGCTGGCACACCAGGTTCTAGTCCCGGTCGGGGCGCCTGATTCTGTCCCAGTTGCCCCTCTTCCAGGCCAGCTCTCTGCTATAGCCCAGGAGTGCAGTGGAGGATGGCCCAATGTCCTTGGGCCCTGCACACACATGGGAGACCAGGAGAAGCACCTGGCTCCTGGCTTTGGATCAGCGCAATGCGCCGGCCGCAGTGGCCATTGGAGGGTGAACCAACGGCAAAAGGAAGACCTTTCTCTCTATCTCTCTCTCCCTCACTGTCCACTCTGCCTGTCAAGAAAGAAAGAAAGAAAGAAAGAAGGAAGGAAGGAAGGAAGGAAGGAAGGAAGGAAGGAAGGAAGGAAGGAAGGAAGGAAGGAAGGAAGGAAGGAAGGAAGGAAAGAAAGAAAACTACATTTGTAGACATATTTATTACAGAAAACTGTTTGGCATGGAAGCCTGACTTTACTCACAACCTTTATCACTTGAATCACAGCCCTATGATTTCCTATATATTTTTTCAATTTTTAAGTGTGGCTCAGTTTCACATATTAGAAAGCATAAAGACTTTTTGTTATCACTTTTTCTCTACAGGCTTGTTAAAAAAATCTTTTAATTCTATCATGTTCATTTCTAAAAAGAAATGCAAATTTGAGTTCTTTCTCTTTCAGCAATATCACATTCCTCTACCTTTAAAACCAGAAGGTATCAGAAGGTATTTTTTCCGCCCTTTCCCCCCCCAGGAAGAAACCCTTTTTTTTTTTTTTTTTTTTTTTTTTCCGACCAGCCAGAGTGGACAGGGGGGAGAAGAGAGGCCAGAGGAGAAAGGTTCTTCCTTTGGCCGTTGGTTCCCCCCTCCAATGGGCCCCCCAGGGCGGCCGCGCTGCGGCCGGTGCACCACGCTGATCCGAAGGCAGGAGCCAGGTACTTATCCTGGTCTCCCTCCCGTGGGGTGCAGAGCCCAAGTACTTGGGCCATCCTCCACTGCACTCCCAGGCCACAGCAGAGAGCTGGCCTGGAAGAGGGGCAACCGGGACAGAATCAGGCGCCCCGACCAGGACTAGAACCCGTGTGCTGGCGCCACAAGGCGGAGGATTAGCCTAGTGAGCCGCAGCGCAGGCCTGTAATAATATTTGTATATTCTATATCTTGCCATACTAGACTTTGCTTTCCTTTGCTGAGAAGACTAAAGAGCAAAGTAAGTAATGTGCAAAAGTTGAAGTGTTGACAATCCTAAAATCAAACTAAAAAATGGAGAATGTTTGGGGCTGGTGCTGTGGCATAGCAGGTAAAGCCTCTGCCTGCAGTGCTGGCATCCCATATGGGCACTGGTTTGAGACCCAGCTGCTCTACTTCCGATCCAGCTCTCTGCTATGGCCTCAGAAAGCAGCAGAAGATAGCCCAAGTCCTTGGGCCCTTGCACCCGCTTGGGAGACCCGGAAGAAGCTCCTGAATCCTCGCTTCAGATCAGTTCAGCTCCAGTTGTTGTGGCCATCTGGAGAGTGAACCAGCAGATGGAAGACCTTTCCCTCTCTCTCTGCCTCTAAACACTGCCTTTCAAATAAATAAATCTTTAAAAACAAAGGGAGAGGCGCGGTGCCATGGCACAGCAAGTAAATCTGCCACCTACAATGCCACCATCCCATATGGGCACCGGTTCGAGTCTCAGCTGCTCCACTTCTGATCCAGCTCTCTGCTATGGCCTGGGAAAGTGGCGGAAGATGGCTCAAGTGCTTGGGCCCCTGTACCCACATGGGAAACCTAGAAACAGCTCCTAGCTCCTGGCTTCAGATTGGCCAGCTCTGGCTGTTGTGGTCATTTGGGAAGTGAACCAGCGGATATAAAGTCTCTCTCTCTCTCTGCCTCTCTCTAACTCTGCCTTTCAAGTAAATAATTCTTTTTTTTTTTTTTTTAATTTGACAGAGTTAGAAAGTGAGAGAGAGAGAGAGAGAGAGACCTTCCTTCCGTTGGTTCACCCTCCAAATGGCCGCTACGGCCGGAACTACTCCAATCCGAAGCCAGGAGCCAGGTGCTCCCATGCAGGTGCAGGGGCCCAAGCACCTAGGCCATCCTCCACTGCTCTTCCGGGCCACAGCAGAGAGCTGGACTGGAAGAGGAGCAACTGGGACTAGAACCTGGCACCCATATGGGATGCTGGCGCCGCAGGTGGAGGATTAGCAAAGTGAGCCATGGCGCTGGCCCCTCAAATAAATAATTCTTTAAAAGAAAAGAGAGGGGTCCGCTGGCACTGTGGCGCAGCAGGTAAAGCCTACAGTGCACATAAGCTTTTAGTAAACATGAGACTATTGGTATTTACAAAGATAGGCCGGATATTTTTGTAAATTCCAAAATACCACTATAGCAACACATATATTCCTCTCTAGATAAAACATTTGATGATGTTTTCAGAGACTTAATGATTATTTAAAAATACAGAACAAAGGAATATAGAAAAGGCTATATTAAACTTACACCATTACTATGTCACAGTCATCCTTGAAATTAAAAGATTCTATAAAAAGCAGAAATAATGATGATGACTAATTTTAGTCATGCATGCACAAAAATGATGAAGATTACCAAACATACTGTTAACAATGTGATGAGGGGCCAGTGCTATGGTGGAGCGGGTAAAGCTGCCACTTGCAGTGCAGCATCCCATATGGATGCCAGTTCTAGCCCCAGCTGCTCCACTTCCAATCCAGCTCCCTATTAATATGCCTGGGAAAGTAGCAGAAGATGGCTGAAGTCCTTTGGCCCCTACATCCACATAGGAGACCTGGAAGAATCTCCTGGCTTCAGTCTGGCCCAGCCCTAGGGCCATTTGGGGAATGAACAAGCAGACAGAAAGAATGTGTCTCTCTCTGTCTCTTCCTCTCTCTGTAACTGTGCCTTTCAAATAAATAAAATAAATCTTAAAAAAACAAAAAGGGAGAGTGTCAAATTCATTCTATTTATGTTAAAAAGGAGGTTAGGATTTTGGGGAAATGAAATTCAGTGCCAAACTTTTCTTTAGTCATTACAAATATTAGAACTGAGAATTAGGCCGGCACCGTGGCTCAATAGGCTAATCCTCCGCCTGCGGCGCTGGCACACCGGGTTCTAGTCCCGGTCGGGGCACCAGATTCTGTCCCAGTTGCCCCTCTTCCAGGCCAGCTCTCTGCTGTGGCTCGGGAGTGCAGTGGAGGATGGCCCAATTGCTTGGGCCCTGCACCCCATGGAGGAGAAGGACCTGGCTCCTGGCTTTGGATCAGCGCGGTGTGCCGGCCACAGTGCGCCGGCCGTGGCAGCCATTGGAGGGTGAACCAACGGCAAAAGGAAGACCTTTCTCTCTGTCTCTCTCTCTCTCTCTCACTGTCCACTCTGCCTGTCAAAAAAAAAAAAAAAGAACTGACAATTAAAAACATTTAGGCTTAAAAAAGTAAGAAGTACTATGAAAGTTTCAAGGGTTAACCATCAGTCCTCACTCCCAAGTAAAGGAGTTAGAACATCAAGACTTGGGGGGCTGGTGCTAAAGCACAGTGGGTTAAGCTGCTGCCACTTCTGATTCAACATCTGCTAATGTGCCTGGGAAGGCAGTGGAGGATGGGTCAAGTGCTCGGGCCCCTGCACCCACATGGGAGATCCAAATGTAGTTCTAAGGTCCTGGCTTTGGGCTGGCCCAACCCTGGCCACTGCAGCCATTTGGGGAGTGAACCAGCAGATGGAAGATCTCTCCCTCTCTCAGTAACTCTGCCTTTCAAATAAATAAAACAAATCTTAAAAAAAAAAAAGAATTTCACAAATACAATTGTTTATTTGCCTTTTCCTCAAAAATCCAATGAGGACACAAACCAAACCATTAATACTTTTTCTCCCTGAGGACACAGCGCAGAGTACAAAAATAAGCATTCTTTATTTCATGTAGTTCTGTATTGCTGAAATTTTCCTAAGCATGTGCTTTATTTTTTAAAGATTTATTTATTTATTTGAAAAGCAGAGTTACATGGAGAGAGAAGGAGAGGCAGAGAGAGAGGTCTTTCATCTGCTGGTTTACTCCCACAATGACCAGAGCTGTGCTGATCTGAAGCCAGGAGCCAGGAGCTTCTTCTGGGTCTCCCATGTAGGTGCAGGAACCCAAGGACTTGGGGCCATTTTCTACTGCTTTCCCAGGCCATAGCAGAGAGCTGGATCGGAAGTGGATCAGCCCAGACTCGAATTAGCGCCCACATGGGATGCCAGCACTGCAGGCAGCGGCTTTACCCACTACACCACAGTGCCAGCCCTGCATGTACTAATTTTATAATAAATGATAACAAATCACCTAGGAAATATTATCTGAGTAGACATTTCCATGTCTTATAACAGATGTTTTGTTAAAGAACAAAAGCATTTTATGTATACTTTTTAAGAATAAGCTTCATTGTCCTACAGTGGAAGGCATTAAGTAGCTGCTCAAATGTAAAAATGATAAGCTAAGAATAATGAAGATCTGTAAGTTAGCCTAGAGTCCAGTGAACAGAACAGTTTGACTCCTTACCCAACAGCGGTAATTCTGCATCAGATTTAGCTTCACAGCCTGAATACTGCCATCATAACAGCCAGTATAAATCTGTAGAAAGAGATTTACAATATTAGACTATTAGTGCACACAACTACAAGACACCCTCAAAATAAGAGCTGAAAACTACTTCTAACAGCTATAGGAGAACATGAACTTAAAACAATCAACTTTTCTTTTTTCTTTTTGACAGGCAGAGTGGACAGTGAGAGAGAGAGAGAGAGAGAGAGAGAGAGAGAAAGGTCTTCCTTTGCCGTTGGTTCACCCTCCAATGGCTGCTGCAGCCGGCGCACCGCGCTGATCCGATGGCAGGACCCAGGTACTTATCCTGGTCTCCCATGGGTGCAGGACCCAAGTACTCGGGCCATCCTCCATTGCACTCCCGGGCCACAGCAGAGAGCTGGCCTGGAAGAGGGGCAACCAGGACAGAATCCGGCGCCCCGACCGGGACTAGAACCTGGGGTGCCAGCACCGCAAGGCGGAGGATTAGCCTAGTGAGCCGCGGCGCTGGCCACAATCAACTTTCAAGTACTAGTATGGGAAAGTAATTTCTAGATCTTCTCATCTATACATTTTGAAGCTGCCTTCCTTGGGTATGTGGCTGAGAACAGTGAAAGGGCTCAGAGAAATCCTCTTCTATTTTAACTGGTATAGCTCTGGCTTTTAACAGTGTTATATAATGGGTATCTATATTTCATGGCAAGAAAATGGTCTACTACACAAAGTATGAGAAAACATACATTCTGGTTCAACCCTATTATTTGACAATAAAATAAACCAAGGCTTAGCAGAGTCAAGTGAGTTAGCTTCTACTTTTAGGTCTGCTATAATTATGCCATACTAGCTAAATCTGATACCATTGCAATGTTCTATTTAGATCATGGTATCTCTGGGAAAAGGATCAATTTTTTAAGGAACTTAAGTTTATCTCCTACTTAATACTGGGATTAAATTTTTATTAAAATTATGTTAGCTATTAATAGAAAATGGAATATTCAGCAATGTTAGTTACTTCTCATTATTATTAAGCAAAGAGACAGATATGCAATAATGAGGTATAACAGAAGCAGATGTCACTTCTGGAAGGGACAGGTACCAACACTATTATCAGTATGTAGAATTTTAAGTATATATACTCAAAGACAAATATCTGACCTGACCTTATACTCACCATACTTTTATGGATGGTCATACACATAATCATGTCTTTGTGTCCTCCATAAACTTGCAATCGATCATGAGACTTAGGCAGAAGGAAGAAAAGAATTAAGGTTATTTGTGCTTGTGTTTATTAAGAAGTAGTCACTCAGGGCCTTTTGTGAAGGTTAAAACTATATCTGAGGCACAAAATTGAAACACAGCAGCACTGCGACAAAACTATAATCTGATGGCAATCTTCCTAGTTAGTCCATTCCTCAAAGGGGAAGCCGGTAATTAGAAATAATAAAACCAAACTTCAAATTCCACATAAGGGAAACTAGACAGGTTTCATGAGCCCAGAGTTGCTTTCCAGGAATCATTTAAACTTTGCCACCTGTGTGAGCTGACCAAGTCTCTTCACTGCAGTGCAACAAGGGTATAATCCATGGGCCAGCTATTTCATAATTATCAGAGTGCTTGTGAAAATGCAGATTCCCAGCCTTACTGTTCCACCCCAGCCTTACTGTAGCAAAAATCAGTACCAAACCAGACAGTCTCCCCAGTTCATTCAAGCAAAATAATGGATCTAAATTATACCTGTAATTCATAGACACGAACAAATTTATCCAGACAGGCAGTCACCATCACTTTTCCCAGAATGTTGACCACAGTCACTGCATGGTTGTGGCCTTTATAGATTCGCACAAGCTCCCCGGTCTATGTCAGAAGAAAGGTAATGGTTATTAAACTGATTTTTAATATTCCTTCCTACTTCTGAGATTTATAAATCTAACTATAAGAAGCACATCTGAGGCTACCTTTACACACACGTAGCTGTATTAACTTTAATAGCCGAAGTTTTCCCACATGCAGTAATTACCTATACAAAACATGTGAAATGGATCCTGACGAAGAGAACTTACTGTCACAGAAAGGGAAGGGCTATAATTCAATCTGCCTATTTTACAGCTTTCAAAGTATAGGCCAAGCATTCCTAATCTGACAATGTGAAATACTCCAAAATCTGAAAATTTTCGATGGCCAACACGATGTCACAGCTGACCTCAGATGATGGATCATAGTCAAAATACAGGTGCACTAAAAATATTATACAAAATAACCTTCACCCTATGTGTATAAGGTATATACAAAACAAATGAATTCTCTGTTGAGATTTGATTCCCATACTCAAGGTCACATTACATTTTTGTAAATTTTCCAAAATCTGCAAAACTGCAGAATCCAAAACACTCCTGAACCCAAGCATATTGAACAGGGGTTTTTCAACCTGTACTTTCACTTTTGTCATCTCACTGCATCTGGACGGCAAGTCCATCAGGTGCGAGTAGACTCAGGTTCACAAATCAGGAACTGAGTTTCAAAGAGCTGCTTCTCTATGACCTGAGCAGTCTCTAAACTGTTTTAACTCATCCTATTTTAAACTACTCATCATATCTATTTTCTAATAGCCTTGGCTGCTCAATTTATCAAAAGTTTAAATGAGGCATTCAAACTAAATCTTACCCTTAATCTGTCCCCCGTTAAAAATGTTAATGATGGGGGCTGGTGCTATGGCACAGCAGGTTAAAGCCCCAACCTGTAGCACCAGCATCCCATATGGGCAATGGTTTGAGTCCCGCTGCTCTATTTCCAATCCAGCTCCCTGCTAACATGCCTGAAAAAGCAGCAGATGGCCCGGGTGCTTGGGCCTCTGTACCCACGTGGGAGACCTCGAAGAAGCTCTGGGCTCCTGGCTTCAATTTGGCTCAGCTCCAGCCGTTGAAGCCATCTGGGGAGTGAACTAGGGGACGGAAGACCTCTCTTTCTGTGTCTCTACCTCTCTAACTCTTTCAAATAAATGAATAAATCTTAAAAAAAATTAATTACACGAGAATTTCCAATTACTCAGTAATGTCCAAGAGTGTACATTTAGTGATTGTTATGAATCCCTTCACAGGATAAAGGGCTTAATTTAAATTGCAAGAGATCTGAGGAAACATTCAAGCTTTAACTACCATTTTCATTCGACTCCCTTATGCAGCACCAACGTGACTTACGTGAATGTTGTGAGCGTGAACTGACTGATCACTGGAACCGCTGAACACAAGGTCATTCACCACCTTCAAGAGAAAAATCAACAAGTTAGATTATGTGTAAGGTTCTCAGTTTCCTCTGTAACTTGTAAACACATCAGGGAATTTTACCTTCCACTCTATTCTGAGATTAGCATTCACCTTCCCAGACAAATTTTCTCAACTGAAACTTAAGTGCTACCACCAGAAACTCTGGTGAACCAACAATGTATTCTTAGGTTTGTTAATTCTCCAGGGTGATTATGAAGTAGCCTAGAAGAGCATTACAGTAGAACTACATTCTACAACAAAATACATCTGGTTTTTCAGTGAAATGTATTTGAAAAGAGAATATATTGTTTGGTGACCCAGGCATAAAGAAAAGGACTGTAATCACATTGCTCTTTAAAAGATGGCTATGTTCTAAATAATGCATCAGACAACCTGGGAAATACCATTCAAACCCTTCTGCTTGTGCCAGACCACTCTTCTGTCTCACACTATACTTGCCTTCATGCACAGGATGGTTTTGCTATGGCCCTCCAGAGTTCTGAGGAGCAGTCCATTCCGTGCGTCACGTACACTAATGGTGCAGTCGTAAGATCCCACAACCAGCAGTTTTCGGGCACCTTCCTGTGCTGTAGCAAGACAGCTGACTGCCCGAGGGCCATGACATTCAAAGATCTCCAGTCGTTTGTTGTTCTGCAAAACAGGTCACTGTTATATAAAGAAAAAGTAACTTTGCTGGAAAAACTGAAAATCAACCAAAATCAGTATTTTGGTACTAATTCTCAATTCTATGACCTGTACTCAAATTCTCACATCTGCTCCACACCCCTAACTTTCCAACCTCTGCCATGCTCATTTCTTTTTGCTGTGTTCATGACTCTCTATCACTTGATCTAGTGGGGCAAACTCTTAAATTACAGACCAATTTGTAATTTTTTTTTTTTTTTTTGACAGGCAGAGTGGACAGGGAGAGAGAGAGACAGAGAGAAAGGTCTTCCTTTGCCGTTGGTTCACCCTCCAATGGCGCACCGCACTGATCTGAAACCAGGTGTTTCTCCTGGTTTCCCATGCGGGTGCAGGGCCCAAGCACTTGGGCCATCCTCCACTGCACTCCCGGGCCACAGCAGAGAGCTGGACTGGAAGAGGGGCAACCGGGACAGAATCCAGCGCCCCGACCGCGACTAGAACCCGGTGTGCTGGTGCCGCAGGTGGAGGATTAGCCTATTGAGCTGCGGCGCCGGCCTTTGTTTTTTTTTTTTTTTTCCCCAATTTGTAATTTCAACCCACACTATCCTGAACCTAATTAGAAAACCATTTCATTTTTATGGCCTCTTTCACTTCCCTTAATGATAATAAAGGATCAATGGTTTTCCACACTGTAGTACATTTCCCCTGCCACAGACCCAACAACTCTTCCACTGTATTTTTTAAAAAATTATAAATAAATGTTTATTTATTTTCATCTACTTTAAAGGCAGAGTGACAGAGCAAGAGTGAGAGTTGAGAGAAAATGGCCACAATAGCAAGGCTGGGCAAGGCCAAAGCAAGGAACTGAGAACTCTATCTGGGTCCCTAACTTGGATGACAGAAACCCAATCACTGGGCCGTTATCTGCTGCTACTCCATTATAAGATCTAGACGTCCTAAGTGACAACTTAACCTGCTGTGCCACAAGGCCTCTTCCACTTTATTTTTGTAGTGTATGTGCTGCCAAAGTAAGCCCATACCACTGTATTTTTGTCAACCAAAATGTATGCAATCTGATTGTCACGATGTTTCCAAAATCCTCTACTGAGAATTACCTCCTAGACCATTTCAGTGAGTCTAAACTCTTCACCTTTTTGTTACTCTGACGTTCTTTTCACTTCTGGTTCTATGACTTCTCACATGACTTCATTCAGTGGGCTACAGATGCCTTTACATCCAAGTGACATGATCATATCCTAAATCCCAAAACATTCTTCTCAGATTTTAGACTAGTTTCCCTCATCTACCAACCAATCTTGTTCTCCAAAGCTTTATTATATGTTTTGATGTGTGACAGATAGAGTTAGGGAGAGAGAGACAGAGAGAAAGATCTTCCTTCCGTTGGTTCACCCCCCAAATGGCCGCTATGGCCGGCGCTGCGCCGATCAGAAGCCAGGAGCCAGGAGCTTCCTCCTGGTCTCCCATGTGGGTGCAGGGGCCCAAGCACTTGGGCCACCCTCCACTGCCTTCCCAGGCCACAGCAGAGAGCTGGACTGGAAGAGGAGCAGCCGGGACTAGAACCCAGCACCCATATGGGATGCCGGCGCCACAAGTGGAGGATTAGCAAAGTGAGCCATGGCTCCGGCCCCATCTCCAAAGCTTTTAAAAAGATATTTAAGGTACATGTATGGAGTACAACTCCCAGAAACTAGGCAGAGAGCAGCAACAGCTGGGCACCTACAGAGCTGAGCAATGACTTCAGCCTTGATGAAGTGTTAGGGACACTACTGAATGATCAGAATTCAGGACCCAGCGGTGGACAAGACCTAGTAACCAGTCATGGGCAAAATAGAGAAAGCCCAGACCTAACTTTCAAAATTCACATCTAAGCAGATATGCTCAAATTCTAGGTCCCTCTTCTTTAGTACTTTTAAACCATCTAAAGAAGTTGTCTATTTTAATTTCTCATTAGCTTGATTCAAAAGTCTTTTAATTTCTATCTTTAGTTATATTAATTAATCTCACAGAAGAAAATTAGGTAAGCATCAAGTTCTACCCTTCAGAATATTTTTTAAAAGATTTATTTATTTATTTATTTGAAAGGCAGAGGCAGAGAGAGAGAGAGAGAAAGTCTTCCATCTGCTGGTTCACTACCCAAATGGCTGCAACAGACAGAGCTGAGCTGATCTGAAGCCTGAAGCCAGGAGCTTCTTCTGGGTCTCCTACTCAGGTGCAGGGGCCCAAGACTTGGGCCATCTTCTACTGCCTTCCCAGGCCATAGCAGAGAGCTAGATAGCAAGCAGAACAGCTGGGACTTGAACCAGCACCCATATGAGATGCCGGCACTGCAGGCGGAGGCTTAGCCCACTACGCCACAGTGCCAGTCCCCAAAATATTCTCATTCTGCCCTTTCTTTACCACTTCCATTGCCCTAATCCAATCTAATCAGACTACTAGCACTTTGCATCTAGAACACAGAAATTACTCTACTGATCTATTCATATCAAGTGGACCATGTAACTTGACAACTGATTACAGAGGTTCTAGACTCTTATAACAATTTTTTAAAGGCAGAAAGCATGACACTTTATTGCATCCCTTGTATAGCTGTCGCAGTTAACAGGTAACAAATGAATTGACACTGTAATAGTATACAGTAAACACTTTGGGACAGGCATTTGATATAGTGTTTCAACACTGTTTGAGATGCCCACATCCCACACTGGAGTGCCTGGGTTCAAGTCCCAGCTCTGCTTCTCACTAATGTACACTCTGGGAGGCAACAGGTGATAGCTCAAGAAACTTGGATCCCTGCCAGCAACATGGAAGAATCAGACTGAGTTCCTAGCTCGTGGCTTCAGCTTGGTCCAGTCCTGGCTGCTTGTGAACACTTAGGAAGTGAACCATGAATGGGAGATATGTCTGTGTCTGTTTAACTCTCCCAGTCTGCTCTCAAAATAAGTAAAAATAAATTAAAAAACAGTAAACAATCAACACACATGTACCAAAAGAAGATGACCAGAGAATGCGATGCTACAACTAATTAGTAATTGAATCTATGAATTCCACCTCTCAGATTATGTCTTTTACCCACTTCCTTCTTTCCATCCTTAGTCTAATTCTCATCCCCCAGCCTCCCAATGGCTGTCTTGCCTCTACTAATGCCAGTCTTTCCCAGTCTCATCATTTCTATGGTAACTTTTTCCAAAATACAGATTGAACCAGGTGTCCTCTACTTTAAAGCCGCCCAGATGGAATCCAACTATGTTAACAAAGCATGCAGGGCCAATCAAGAATCTCCTAAGCCTTTTCTTGGGCCTAGCATATGACAGATCTCAGTAAAGGCCTGCTCAATCAATGAATTGATCTCTGGGCTAGAAAACAAGGGGGCTACATGGGTTTGTTAAGGCAAAACTCTGACACAGCTCACACTAAATCACTTCCAAACTACACCAATCTCATACTCAAAGGCATTTATATTGTCTTCATGGTAATTCTTCAAATGAGAGACTGGTTTAACCTGTGAGTCATTATTTGGCCTGCAATCCTCACACTTGGTTTTATTTAGTAGTCACATTTTGGTCCTGGCATATCTGCATCTAAGCAGAGAGAATGGAGGATCTTGTTTCACTTATACCAGAAGATAACAATTTTGGAGAAGCAGTTAACTCTGTTGTTTCCTTAAACAAGAAAATTGAAAACTTCCTGCCTGCTACTCATTCCCACATACATATTATTTTTGAAATAGCATAAAAAGTCAGTCTTCTCTCCACCAATCACTAACCTTTATGCTAAAGGTGACCACAGTGCCGTTTGCCAGTCCTGCATAGAGGATTCGCCATCTACTATGGAGGCAGAGAACCCGGTCTTCCAGCTCTAACTGCTCCACACATTCTCGGGTCTGACAAAAGCATACAACATCTAATCAGCAGAGGATAGTGGCAAATGAGATGTGAAAACAATTCCTCCTGAAAGCAAAGTTTAATAATGAAAAAAATATAAATTCTAATAACATTACCTATGTCTCTAATCTAGAAGATACAAGTTTTTCAAAGGGCCCTATGAACTGGGCCTGAGCATATTAAATTAAGTGCCCAAAGATAAAGCTGCATTTGTTACCTGAAAAGGAAAATTGGGATTATAGTTGTGTATTTAGTAAATGCACTAATCAGAAGTGCTTTCCTTAAATGTATTCTTCATTTCAACAGCTTCCAAATGCCTCCTTCAAAATGGGTGCTGAGTTAGCTGATCCATAATTACACAGAAAGCTTTTAACTTCAAGCTCCAACCCCATGTTAGTACGCTCCGGTGTCTGTATATTTAAAAACTTACCTAGTAATGGGTGTGCAGATTTAAGGAGCACTGTGTGATTTGAACTTCAAAAAGTTATATTTAAAAAAAAATTATTTTCATGAATGTCCTAGAACTGGATTAGACTAGTTAATTAGTTCTAACCTAATTATAACTGAGAATAGGGCCACTCAATAAATATAGTGATTAAAGGCTGAAGTGCAGCTTTTTAGAGACAGTTGCTCATAGCTGTTAAAATTTTTAAAATATGGTTGTATATGGATAGGATGGGACAAACTGTGCACAGAATGAGAGCCTCTGGACTATCAAACCTTTGCTCCCTGCTCTGATCCCTCTTTTGTATCCAAGAGTTGTCTATGAAATTATCCAATTCCTTACCTTAAAATTACAAATATAAATGCTGTATATGAAATTATAAATACTGGAGGCAAGGCACTGTGTCATAGTAGGTAAAGTCCCAGCTGTCCCACTTCTGATCCAGCTCCCTGCTAATGGCCTGAGAAAAACAGAGGAGTATGGCCCAAGCATTTGGGCCTCTGCCACACATATGGGAGACCTGGAAGAAGCTTCTGGCTCCTGCCTGGCTCAGGGCTGGTCACTGCTGACATCTTGGGAGTGAACCAGCATATACAAGTACCCTCTTTCTCTCTGTATCTCTGACTCTCAAATAAGTAAATCTTCAAAAATATATAAAGTACAGGAAAAAAGATTAATTATGTAAAAAACATAAAGACTCATGTCACCTCTGGTTAACCCATGTGAAATCTTTTGTAACTTTATGAAGGAAACTGGATACTATATAGTAATAAAAAAGAACAAATCATTGGTATAACCAATATAGAAAAATTTCAGATATTATGGTGCACTAAAGCTTGATATGAAAGAACACATGCACTACAGTAATCACATAAAGGTTAGGCACAGACAAAAGTAATTTATTATGACAGCAGTCAAAACAATGATTATCTTTTGAGATGTATGTTTAAGAGAGAAGTTTTGGTGGATAGACATGGTCTATATTTTGGTCTTGAGGACAGTTACACACACATAAACCCATGAGAAAATTCATCCAGCTGTACACCGAAAATTCGCACATTTTGGGGCCAGTGTTGTACAATGGATTAAGCTGCAACCTGAAACGCTGGCATCCCATACTGGGGTGCTGGTTTGAGCCCTGGCAGCCCTGCTTCAAATCCACCTTCTTGGTAATGCACCTGAGAGGGTGCCTGAGTCCCTGCCACCCATGTGGGAAACTGGGATGGAGTTACTGGCTCCTGGCCCAGCAGGGCCCAGACCTGGCTGTTGTGGCCACGTGGGAAGTAAACCAGGGAATGGAAGATTTCTCCATGTTTCTTTCTCTCTGTCAGTCTATCTTTCAAATTAAAAAACAAAAAAACCACAACTCTTCCTTAATTCTTTTAAAAAAAAATTTGTGGGGCTGGTGTTGTAGTAGCAGGTTAAGCCATTGCCTATGATGTCAACATCCCATATTGGAGAGCAGATTTGAGTCCTAATTACTTAAATTCCAATCCACCTCCCTGATAATGTGCCTGAGAAAGCAGTGAGCATGGCCCAAGTGCTTGGCACCTGCCACCCACTTGGGAGACCCGGAAGAAGCTTTTGGATCTTTGCTTCAGCCTTGGCCCAACATCAGCCATTCAGTACACTTGGGGAGTAAAGCAGTGGATGGAAGATCTCTCTCTCTCTCTTTCTGTCCTCTTCTTTTGTCTCTGTGACTCTGCCTTTCAAATAAATAATATTTTTTAAAAACTTGTGTACATTACTGTCTGAAGTTATATATCAATTCTAAAACACAGTTATGAAATCTATCCCACTAACATATAATCAAGAAACCTTTCTGCTCATTTTATGAGTCAAAATTCTATTGTACTTTTGTTTTAACTTCCACTGATTGGCAACAATTATTTTCTTTTTTTAAAGATTTTATTTATTTGAAAGGCAAAGTTACAGAGAAGCAGGTAGAGAGAGACAGAGAGAGGTCTTCCATCTGCTGGGTCACTCCCCAGATGGCCTCAACAGCTGAGCTGGGCCATAGCAGAGAGCTGGATCAGAAGTGGAATAACTGGGACTCAAACCAGCACCCAAATGAGATGCTGGCATTGCAGGCGGTGGCTACCCAATACGCCACGTAACAAAATAGTTCTGCTTTTTCTACAATTTCATATAAAGAGAACATACAGAACAGCACTTTCTACAGCTGGCTTCTGTCACCTTGCATGATGTTTTTGAGATCCATCATGTTACTATCTACACCTATTTTTGGCTTCTTTTTGTTGGTTTTACTCATTAGGTAATTTATTTTTATAGACCCCATTGTATGTACTATCCATTTACTAGTTGCATATATTGACTACCCACACCCCACCCCCAGTTTTTTTTAAACTAGAGTAAATAATGCTGCTATGAAGTCTTTTCTCTCATTCTGGACATTGGTAAATTTATATCTTTTTCTGATGAATTTGTGTGAAGGTTTATCTAGTTTATATTCTCAAAAGAAATTAGCTGTTGGCTTTTTTCCTGGTTTGTCTGTCTTTTATATATAGTTTGTTGCCATTTTGCTCTTTATTATTTCCTTCCTTTTACTAAACTTCAAATTTAACTTTCTCTCCTTTTTATAGTTTCTTAGGCCTTAAACCTTTCTTCTTTTCTAATGCAGTCATTTAAAAACACAAATTTCCCATTCAACAATGCTTTAGCTGTGTCTTATCCATGATATGTTGTATTTTCATTTAGTTCAAGATATTTTCTAAGGACCGGCACTATGGTGAAGTGGGTTAAGCCACCGCCTGCAACATGGGCATCCCATACAGGCACTGGTTTGGGTCTCAGCTGATCCATTTCTAATCCAGCTCCTTGCTAATGTACCTGGGAAAGCAATGGAGGATGGCCCAAGTACTTGGGTCCCTGCACTCATGTGGGAGACCCAAAGCTCCTGCCTCCTGGCTTCGGCTTGGTCTAACCTTGGCAGTTGTGGCCATTTAGGGAGTGAACAAGGGAATCGAAGATCTCTCTTTCAAATAAATTAATTTTTTAAATTATTTATTTATTTGACAGGTAGAGTTATAGACAGTGAGAGAGAAAGACAGAGAGAAAGGTCTTCCTTCCGTTGGTTCACTCCCCAAATGGCCGGCACTGCGCCGAAATGAAGCCAGGAGCCAGGTGTTTCTTCCTTGTCTCCCACGCGGGTGCAGGGGCCCAAGCACTTGGGCCATCCTCCACTGCTTTCCCAGGCCACAGCAGAGAACTGGACTGGAAAAGGAGTAAGTGGGACTAGAACCCAGCGTCCATATGGGATGCTGGCGCCGCAGGCGGAGGATTAGCCAAGTGAGCCACAGCACCGGCCCCAAATAAATAAATCTTAATAATAATAATAATAATAAAAGGATATTTTCTAATTTTCTTTGATACTTCTTCTTTGAATAATGGTAATTTGTAAGTATTTTATTCCATCCCTCTAAATTTGAGGATTCCCTGAAATTTTTTTTTTTGAAGAATTATTTTACTTATTTGAAAGAAGAGTTACAGAGAGAAGTAGAGCCAGATAGAGAGAGAGAGGTCTTCCATTCCACTGGTTCACTCCCCAAATTATTGCAATGGCTAGAGCTGAGCTGATCCGAAGCCAGGAGCCAGGAGCTCTTCCAGGTCTCCCACGTGGGTACAGAGGCCCAAGGACTTGGGCCATCTTCTACTGTTTTCCCAGGCTATATAAGAGAGCTGGATCAGAAGTGGAGCAGCCGGGACTCGAACCAGTGCCCACATGGGATGCCAGCACTGCAGGTTGAGGCTTTAACCTCCTGCGCCACAGTACCGGCCCCCCGGATGTCCTTATGTTACTGATTTCTTATTAAATGTCACTGTGTGGAGGATGGCCCAAGTGCTTGGGCCCTGCACCCACGTGGGAGACCAGGAGAAGCACCTGGCTCCTGGCTTCAGATCAGCGCGGTGCGCCGGCCGCAGAGCACCGGCTGCAGTGGCCATTGTGGGGTGAACCAACAGAAAAGGAAGACCTTTCTCTCTGTCTCTCTCTCACTGTCTACTCTGCCTGTCAAAAATAAATAAATAAATGTCACTGTGGATAGAGAACATACTCTGCAAAACTTCAGGTCCTCACTGAGACTCACTTAATGGTCCAGCATATGGTCTTTCCTGGTGAATGTTCTATGTGCACTTGAAATGAACCATTCTATTATTTTGGGTAGAGTCTTCTATAAATGTTAACTAGATCTTATTTGTTAATGTACTTTCCAGTTTATATCCTTGATGATTTTCTATTTAATGACCCATCAATTATTGAGAGAAGGGTAGTGAAGTCTCCAACTACAATTGTGGAAATTGTCAATTTCTTCTTTCAATTTTATTGGTTTGTTTCACATATTTTGGAGCTCTGCTTTGAGGAACACACATATTTATACTTATATCTTTCTGCTGTATTGATTCTTTTATCACTAGGAATTGCCCCCCTTTATCTAACAGTACTCCCTGTCTCAGTCTATTTGCCCAACGTTAACTTAATAACCCTAAGCCTTTCTATTATTATTTGCCTAAGACAATACATATTTTCTATCCTTTTGATTTTTTTAAAGATCTGTTTATTATTTTTATTTGAAAAGTCAGAGTTACATAGAGAGAGAAGGAGAGGCAGAGAGGCAGAGAGGGAGAGAGAGGTCTTCCATCCGCTGATTCACTCCCCAATTGGCGACAACAGCTAGAGCTGTGCCAATCCAAAGCCAGGAGCCAGGAGCTTCCTCTGGGTCTCCCATGTGGGTATAGGGGCCCAAGGACTTGGGCCATCTTCTACTGCTTTCTCAGGACATAGCAGAGAGCTGGATAGGAAGTGGAGCAGCCGGGTCTCAAACCGCTGCCCATATGGGATGCCGGCACTGCAGGTGGTGACTTTACTGGCTACGCCACAGTGCCAGCCCCTGTTCTTTTACTTTCAATCTATCATGTCTTTGAATTTAAAGTGTTACTCTTGTAGACAGCAGAGATTTTGATGTCAGTTCATTCACATTTAATGTAATTATTAAATATGGTTAGAGTTAGGTCCCCAATTTGCTATTTTTTTTTTTAATTTTTTTTTTTTTTTTGACAGGCAGAGTGGACAGTGAGAGAGACAGAGAGAAAGGTCTTCCTTTGCTGTTGGTTCACCCTCCAATGGCCACCGCGGCCGGTGCGCTGCAACCGGCGCACTGCACTGATCTGATGGCAGGAGCCAGGTGCTTCTCCTGGTCTCCCATGTGGGTGCAGGGCCCAAGCACTTGGGCCATCCTCCACTGCACTCCCTGGCCACAGCAGAGAGCTGGCCTGGAAGAGGGGCAACCTGGACAGAATCCGGCGCCCCGACCAGGACTAGAACCCGGTGTGCCGGCACTGCAAGGTGGAGGATTAGCCTAGTGAGCCGCGGCACCAGCCAACTATTTAATTTTTATTTGTCTCATTTTTATTCATCTACTCCCCACTCTATTTTGTCTTGCATTAAATATTTTTGTATGTCATTTTAATTCCTCAGTTGATTTTTTTTAAGTTAATTTAATTATTCTTCCAGTGACTGCTCTAGGAGTCTTTTTATTTGAAAGGTAGAGTTACAGAGGGGGAGAGACAGACAAATCTTCCATCTACTAGTTCATCCCCCATATGGCTGCAACAGCTGGAGTTGAGGGGTCCAAAGCCAGGAGCTTCTTCCAGGTCTCCCACATGGGTTCAGGGGCTCAAGCACTTGGACCATCTTCCCCTGTTTTTCCAGGCACATTAGTGGGGAGCTGCATCAGAAGTGGAGCAACTGGGACTCAAACCAGTGCCCATGTGGGATGCCTGCCTTGCAGGCAGTGGCCTTACCAGCTATGCCACAATGCCAGCTGCTCTAGGACAATCTTAAAATATCGTTCCCAGACTAGAAGCATTAGCATTACAAAACTTGTTTTAAGTGTAAATTCTTTCTTTTTTGGGGGGGTGGGTGGAAGATTTATTTATTTATTTGAAAGTCAGAGAGAGAGACAGAGATAGCTCTTCCATCTGTTGCTTCCCTCCCTAGAAGCCACAATGGCCAGGGCTGAGCCAAACGGAAGCCAGGACCTAGGAGATTGATCCAGGTCTCCCATGTTGGTGCAGGGGCCCAAGTACTTGGATCATCCTCTGGTGCTTTACCCAGGCCATTTACAGGGAGCTGGATTGGAAATGGAGCAGCTGGGACTTGAACCTGCACCCATATAGGATTATCAGTGGGTGTTGTAGGCAGTGGTTTTACCCACTAACCACAACCTGGCCCCTAAGTGCAAATCCTTTCCCAAACATACTTGGGGGTAAGTTTCAGTAGCATATTTTAACAAAGTCTCCACATGAATCTAATGCACACTAAAGTTGTAAAATAGTGCTCTAGAATTGTATCTTATTGATTGTAAAAATTTTCTTCATACTGACTTATTCCCACTAAAATATTGGAACTTTGTACTGGCACGGTTCCATTTCCTCAATCTCCTTTACGTACCTACTATCATATATATCTCATCTACATGTATTATCAACTTAATAGTGCAATTAAAACATGTGATTCATATCTACCTCATACTTAGGTTGGGTTATACCAGTGTCTCCGCTCTACCCAGTAAATACAGTCAGAAGTAGGTCACTATTATCCCTTCTGATTTCTCTGGACCCACATACCTTAACATGATAGCAACGAATGGTGTGATCGCTAGAACCAGTGTAAAGGGCAGCATTCTTCCCAGACGTCTGGGTAACCAGGAGGCAGTTCACCTTGGAGGTATGGCCCTCAAAGACACCAATACATTTCCGACTCTAAAGTCAAGCACAGATCAAATTTTCACTTGTGAGATACAGATGATTTAGATAAAACATGCTAAAACATTCAGTTCAGTACTCTATCCTCAGTACTGAGGTACCTGTAACTAGATGCTGAGCCATATTAGAAAACACTATAGCAATTCACCATAGGATAGCCAAGAATTCAATTTAATGCCTTGAGCAAGATTCTCTAACATATGGACCAAATACAAACTGTGGTTCATTACCCAGAAAAGGTATGTATCTGATCATTCAAAAGCATGTCAGGTGCCAGCACAGGTTTCAGTGGTCCACATGTGATTTCTTAAGAAAACATCCTAAATATTATCTCTGTGTATATACAGATCTATTTAGAATGTATGTATGCTTACATACACACACTCTGCAATTCAGGCTTAGAATTAATTCTCTTGCTCTTACACTCATACTTGTTTATAACATTGCTTTCTTCCTTCAGTCATTTCTATTACTTCTCCTATCACTAGGCTGAAGAAACTTACATTTCCATTACCTACAGCAAACATTTTCCTGGTCCATCACCTAACTTTTAGATTTTCTCTGACTTTAGTAATTACTTTAGTAATACGTTCAAGGTATTAATCAGAAAACACAGTGTTTCTAAAATTTCTTGGCTATCACTGCTGATAAACAGAATTTGACACATACTACATACTCAAAAGTTCATTATTTTTAAGAGTAATGAATAACAGAATATATTAAGTGTGGGGCAGTAGAAAAGTATTGTTCTCCTCCATAACTTGGATTCTATAATTAATCAGCTGTCAAAAATGCTTCCTCTAATACTTAGTATTCATGACAACCCTCACTCTTACATTCCAGCTATCCAACTTACCACACCACCAACTCCAGCGGTGTGAACTGACTGGCCAAAGCCTACTGGTATCATCCTAATCTCCTCTGCCACAGTGAGTGCTCAGGGAGTAAAGTACAGAACCCTTCTGTGGTGTCAGTAACTACCACAGTGGCTACTGACGTTTGTCTGTAAGCAGAAGGGGAATCAGCTTTTAGAAAGCAATGGCACCTGAGAAGGCAGAGTAGAAACGCAAAAAATCAGGCCCCCAGTAACACTGCTGAGTTGATGGCTCAGTCCAAAGGCCACCCCTACTTCGGGACAGACAATAAATCCCCCATACTGTTTAAGAGAGTATGAGCTGGATTTTCTAAAGCCTACATCCCAAAACACTCAAAATGTTACATTAACTTACCACCAGATTATACACTCGGACAGTTTTATCCGCTGAACAAGTATAGAGTAAGTTCCCAAATATCTGAATTGCATTCACGGCAGCATGGTGCCCCTCAAAGCTTCCTTCTGTGGGCTCATCATCATCTCCTGGCTCTGAGGATATTTCTAGAATTCAAGGATAAATTTCAAAGATATGTCTACCAGACTCTGTAAAGAAACTGAACAATCAAAACTATTGTACCATATAGTAGTCCCTAGAATAAACCAAAAGAAGACTTCCTTTAGTCTAGTTCTCCTAGCAGAACACATTTTCTTTAAAGATCTTCACTATGAAGAAGGCAGTGAAGGTCTGCATATAGCAAAAAGACAGAAGTTAATCTTGGTGAAATAAAATTTTTAATCTATGCATAGTCTCTTTACAATATGAAGTTTCCATCAATTTTGGAAAGCCTCTTATAGAATGAGCTTCTGAGTGATACTTGCAATGTGCCTATATCTCTATATTGTCTCCCAGTTATTTCTTTGAGTAAAGGATTTAAGCCATTTCTTCTCAAAGCAAAAATCCCTGGAGACAATGAAACCTTAATGCTAATTAGTGGAATATATATGGAAGCCATGTAAGAGAGACAGGAGTAAGAATTGAAAAGTCCAGTACTTGAGAATTTAGGGATACCAGAACTACTGATCAAGATAATCCTCTTGGTGATTACCTCTTACCCCCTCCTATTATGTAACATAAATATATATAAACCCTGACTCTAACATCTATCAGCCATTTTTTCCATGGTTAAATTTAAATTAAACTGAACAACAAATACCTGAAGAGTTCTTAGATCCTTTTATAGAAGAGATCACAGTTTGAGTTTCTGCCACACTACAAAATAATAGCAAAAGTCTTCTTAGTTATCTATGTGAAAAGGATAGGGAATAAAGTAAAATTTTCCTGACTCAAAGTTTTTTTCAAAACAATAGGCAATGATAGTAGCAATGATACAAGAGATCAGTTTTTCCATCTGAAATTTCTCCACGAAGGGAAGAATGAATGAATATTTATAACACAGTCAAAAGAGAAAGCAGTAAAATCTCCCCAGCCAAGGTTTGATTCTTCCATATCATAAAAATCTCATATCTATGCAAATCCTGGTCCATAACTAAAAGTTCTTTTTGTTTTGTTTTTTAAAGAAGACTGGGGGAGGTATTTAGCACAGCCATTAAGTTACTGCTTGGGATGCCTGCATCTCCTATCAGACAGACTGCCTGATTTAAGCTCCGTTCACTCTGCTTCTGATCCAGCCTCCTGCTAATGCATACCCTGGGAGGCAGCAGATGATGGCTCAAGCATCTGGGTCCCTGCCACCCTTGTGAGAGATCTGGGTTGAGTTCCAGGCATCTGCCTTCAGCCTAGCCCAGCCCTTACTGTTGTGGGCATTTGGGGAGTAAAACAACAGATCTCTGTCTATCTCCTTGCCTTTCAAATAAAAAAGGGGAAAAAAAACACAGACTGGGGTGAAAGCTGTTCTGACTGTACCAATGCAACCTCCTTACCTTACAGGGATGCCATCCTTATAGCGAGTGCCAATCTCACTGGTAGAGCTAACTTCATCACATCCAGAACGAGAAGTTTCCAGTGAGTTTTGCTCTGCAGCATTCCAAATATCCTTTTTCGATGGGCTGTCTGGTTTCTCTTCTCCAGATTCAGAAGAATCAATGGCTACCACTTCTAAAGGAGGATTAGGAATTTCTAGGACTTCCAGAGACGAGTCACTATCTGGCTCATCTCTGACACTCTCCTGCTCCAGACCAGTTCTACTGTCTTCCCAGGTGGAGGTTGTTACTTTCCCTCCTTTAGTTATCTTTCCAGTTTTTAACTTCCTCACAGGTTTAGCAGTAAATACATCCTGTTCAGTGTCACTATTCTCCGGAACATGGGCAGCTCGTAGAGTTTTCTTCTTCCGAAGTTTCTTCTTTTTCTTGTTCACCCTAGTTTCAGCTGATGTCAGGGTGGATTCTGCCTGTTGTTCAGGCTGGTCAGCTGGAGAGTAGGGTTCTTTCTCCAAAGGGGTTTCTGAAGCAAAAGATAATCTTGGAAAAGAACTGGTACAGGCTTCAGACCCACTGTTGCTTTTGGTTGGCTCTTCACTTTCTTTATTTATGCTAGGAAGACCAGGTGATTGGGATGAGGGAGCGTTTTCTCTGTTTCTGCTGTTTCCTTGCTCCACAGAAAACTTCAGCTCTTGGCTAGGCTCATGGAAACTTTCTGTTAGCTCTGATAAGGGCAACGTTGCAGTAATGACTGGATAAACGGGACAACTATCACTGATCTCTCCTGAATTGAGAAGAAAAAAATTACTGCATCTCTTTTGTGTTTGCTGTTCATAGTCATAAACTGCAAATTATCATTGACTGGATCTCTACCAAATGCTTCAGTGGTATGTTCACAAACCCCTGACCGTTAGGGCTGTTGTCTGTTTCCGACAACCTACATGATTACACATTCCTTTTACAGTACTCACTATCAACCCCACAAATGACATGTACCTCTTATTTCCTACAAAGGCTCCTTTTGGACAGGGATTGTTTCTATACATCTTTTTTCTCATTTAAAATGTCTATATATTTAACATTGTTTTAATATTAGGAGACACTTAAATATTTACTGGACTATAGTGCATTTGCTTTTATTTCTTAGTAATTTTCATTATACATTTTACCTAGTATACATATCCAATTTTGCTAGATATTAATAGTTAAAAAGTCAGTTGACTTAAAAATGTCCTTTTTCTTTGACTTAGTTATTTCATGTCTAGGAAGTTAAACTGATGAAATAGTCACAAATATATTCCAAGACATATCACACAAGCACAATTTAAGAAAGACTGAAATAATATGTAAGAAAGTAACATCTACATTTTTACAGTTTCTCAACTTTTTACAATAAACATAAGTTTTAAAATCAGAAATCTAAAAAAGCTATTCTGGAGAAAAAGTAGCTTAAAAAAGTCACTCTGATGCTTCTTTACTATTTTTTAAAAATTCTGAATACTGTCCAGATAAAAGTAACTTAAAACTCAATAAGAAAGATAATATACATCTGATACAGATACCTAGATTAGTATGGCAACAAGTTACTGGTAGCAAAATCTAGGATGATCTTTCAGACTTCCTGTTTTCATTCTAGAAATGACAATGCCAATTTGTTTGACTTAATTTTCAACACAGTACCATTGTGGATATGCAAGCTTACAACAGGACTTCCTTTTATTTATTCATTTGAGAGGTGGAGAGACAAAGAAAAAGTGATAGGAGTGCTTCCATCTGCTGGTTATCCACTCCCAAACCCTATTTCCCCAAATCATCCACGTTCCTGTTAGATGATTCCAAACACCAGAACTCTCTGCCTTCCATCACATCTACCTGCGTCTCAGGTTTATGTTAACCCTGGCTTGTATTTGAAATGATAAGGACAGTTAAGTGCTGAGAAATTAAGAGGATATACCTATCTAGAAAGTTGCCTAAACAACTTCAACCCCATTCACAAAAACTGAAAATGTGCACCTGCCTTAATAAATGTTTTAATTCACAGTCAACTCAGTAACTATAGATTAGAGAAAATCAGGAAAATTTACTGACATTTCAACTATATTCCCTAAAATATTTTAAAATAATCCTCCTGTATGAAAGATTTCAATGAAAAATTGTAGTAACTTCAGTTTTCATGGACAAATACAGCTTCACATCACTGATATACAGTTGCCCTAGTCCCACTGCAGGGATACCCTTAATCCAGAGAAAAGTTTACATACTATTAACTTGCAGTAATCCCTTGGACACATTGCAAGCAGAGCCTTGTGACACAGCATTCACATTCTCGTCTTGTTCAGGAGACATGGGCTCTTGTTTAATATGAACTGATGAGTCTGGAGCAGGGACACTGCCATGGCCTGGGAAAGTAGATGTGTTTACTTGGAGACAGGCTCCACTGGATGACGGAGACACATGGGACGATGGAGGGTCCAGGAATGCTGGGTAGAAAGGAGCAGGCAGCAGTGTGGCATCAGCAGATGTCTGAGATTTGCTATTCCTTTGTTCTCGTGTGAGGCTATAGGGAACCTGGTCTGGGTTTTCAGAAGGTTCATATGTTTCTAGAATAGGAAACATAAACACAATCAAATGCAAAAATCTGGAAAGTCACTGCTTTCTGGGCCAATCTGTATTTTTAAAGATTAGAAGATAATTTTAAAATCAATAAACATGTTGGTATATATTAGTCATTCGTAATTCTTCAAAATAAAATGTCATAACCTACACAACTAATCAAGGTAATAGAACATTCTAACTTTTCAAACTTTAAGTGACTTAACTCATATCTCATATAGATATTCAAGGGAAAGCCAAGATTTGAACCCAAGTCTTTTGATTCCTAATCCAAAGCTCTTTCCATAAAATATTGGCTAAACATTTTTTGGGATTTACAGTCTACCCATCTTTCTAGAGAAGGACAAAACCAGAGACAGAAATCATATGACATATCCAAAAGTGTTCGTCATTCTCCACAGAGAACAAAAGCATAATAAGATACAGAGGGCCCAATCCATCAGATGCTCTCTGAATACCTTGCAATCCCTGTAGAATCTGTATTCTATGGGTCCTCAGTGCACTCATCTCCATAGTTATCTAAAAATAAAGTATTTTGTTAGGCATTCTGAAATCCAACTTCGAAGATGCTCTGTTTTCATCACACCTTCTATATGCTGTTACCTGCTGCTTGAGCATAAGCAGTCTCTGAACTTCAACATAAGCTGTCTGAAGTGCAGCACGGGCTTGCAGAAGGTTGTTATCCATGCACTGCAATGATTTACTTAGTTCTTCCTCTCTTAAAGAAATATTCAGCAGCTGATCAACCTGAGAACGTTCTGCAAGAAACCATACAGTTCAGTTTAATATTGAAATTTCTCTTTAATAACACAGCTCCTCAGAAAATTTATGCCAATTACTTAGAATAAGCCTTTATTTTCACCATAATAGGTCATTTTGAAGACTTATCAAATTTCATAGACCATGTATCAAAGCTGATGATATCAAAGGCAAAAACCAAAAGTGAGAGGGGCTGGTGCTGTGGTGCAGTGGGTTAAAGCCCTGGCCTGAAGTGCTGGTATCCCATATGGGTGCAGGTTCTAGTCCTGGCTGCTCCTTTTCCGATCCTGCTCTCTGTTGTGGCCTGGGAAGGTAGTAAAAGATGCCCCAAGTCCTTGGGCCCCTGCACCCACGTGGGAGACCCAGAAGAAGCTCCTGGCTTCTGACTTCGAATCGGCTCAGCTCCGGCAGCTGCAGCCATTTGGGGAGTGAACCAGCAGATGGAAGACCTCTCTCTGTAACTCTTTCAAATAAATAAAAATAAATCTTTAAAAAACAAAGTGAGAATTGGTAAGACAGAGGTGCCTCATAGGTTCAAGTATATCACTACTCTGAACTGTCTTACCTAATCATCTTCCACCAATACCTTTACAGTTGAAATTCTAAACCAATCAGTTTTGAGGTTTTATGTTCTCCTTTTCTTCTATCTACCACTCTTATCAAATAGGGCTTTTGCTTAGACTGAGTCTCAGTCCTGAGTTGCTTGCTCTCTCCTCCTAATCTCTCTTTCTCTAGTCTGTTAGTTAACTCAAAATAGTTCTCTTCGTAAGAGAAGGCTTTCAAAGGAAAAAAACAGCTTTGACAGAGTATATTTATCTTACTTGAAATGAAATGTTCTACTACATGTATGTATTTATCAACACTTTTTGTTTGAGTCTCTTTCCCATTTAGTGTGCCAAGACCTCTCTGCTGAAGTCCAGATCCAGATATTCAGCTGTCAACTATGATAACCTAACTTAGTGTCTCAAAGGTGCCTTAAGTCAAAGAATTAAAAAAGGAATTTATCATCTTTCTACACTTTCAACCTACTCCTATCATGGAGTTTTCTATCTTCACTAATGATACTATCATCTATCTGGTTGCCCCAACCTGAAACTGGGGTCACTCGTGACTCCTCCTTTATCATTATATCCATTTGCCACCCCTCTCCCTCACAATCATCCATTCACTTTCTGCTTATACGGGAAGTGGGTTCAAGTCAAGAGAAGCATTACGGGAGGGAAAAACACTAATACCTTCTCTCCTTAATTCACATTAGAAAAGCAACCAAGATACCTTAAAAACACAAAGTGAGAAAAATGGCTATTTATAAATGACCAAGAGACACAAAGTATTTACCAAATGTCCTGTTGCTTTCATCCCACTGAAAAGGCGTATTAACTTTAGCTTGCAGTTCTATGTGACATCCTATTTCTGCTATTATAAGTGGATATAGTAGGAAATCAAACTTTTCTCTGTCCTTCAGCAAGACAGCAATAATGTAAAGAATTAATACCTAGATTCTTAGTGTTTGATGACCATAAGCCACATTCTGGTAAAAGGCTAATGTGCTATAAGAACAACTTCTTTCTGCCAGAATATTCTGTTCCATACCTTTCTTTCCTTTAATTTTCCTTCTTTTATTTTTTCTCTCAAGACTTGGGAGTTCAGGAGATGATCCATCCTGAAAGGATAAAGACAATTGGAAAACACTAAATATGTAAAAGCTATCATCCAAGAGGAGGAAAAAACAATCAGTTCCAAGATAGCCAGACATGTTTCTTTATTAACTGCTGCTACCTCTAACAAGATAGTAAGTGTCTCATGCACATGGTACAAACTTCAATATTAGCATCTGATTAAAAAAAAATACTGGTGGAAAATGAAAAAGAATTCAAAGTCAAGAGCCTTCTTAGCATCCTAGAGGTGATTAGGCCCATCAGACTCAGGCAAAATATTCCACACTGGAGAAGTAGGACCAGAAGAAGTACAGGCAAGGCAGTAAGACATCTGATTTCATCTTGGCATAATTTCTATTCCAAATTTCAGCAAGAAAATCTTTATACCAAAAAAACCTAAACCACTTATGAGATAAAACTCAGGTTACTCCTATTTCATAGGACAAGCACCATCATAAAGTATATTTTAAATTATCTAAGAATATCCACTACATAATGTTTAGTTCAAAGGAACAGAGTAGAAACCTGAAGCAGCTCTAAAATCCATGCTCTTTACTACCGTGTGTTATCATCTCAGTACTAAAGAGCTTGTTTTCCTAAAGGGCCAGATTCCAGACTATATCACCAGCAGCAGCTCTGTCTTTTCAGAAGGGAAGCCAGAGAAAGCTAAGCAATACTGTGACAGAATGCCAGAAGAGAAGTGGTGTCAGTAAAGGAAAAGTCTTAAAGGGCCAGGCTGTGTAACACAAGGTCAAAAGGTAATGTTACAGACTAAAAATATGTCCACACCATGCTCATAGATGTGCACTCTCATAGTATTAAAACCACCTTAATATTAAGCCTAGCAGTTCTGAGTCCAACAACCACACATGCCCTACAAACACAACAGAATTTCTTTCTTCAGTAGAAGTACAGAATTTATCTATGAAAACATTAAGTTACAGCTGAAGAAGTAACTTATCCTTGGTCAGGTGATAGAAAGAGTCACTGGCTTGGAGACTAGTTTTAGAGATGACTTCATATTTTCCAAGTACTGTACATTCATATTAGATTACATCTAATTTAGTAGAATTACTCAGTGAAAAGAGCCAGCAGGATAAGTCAGAGCCTCACAATTCTATTCTGGAGTAGAGTCACAACCCTAGACACCCAAGGAAAATTAAATAGCAAATCTTTCTTATAAACAACCAAGTTGCCACATGAGATAATTTACCAAAAATCACACGGAATCATACTCACTCCAGTGGCTCTTCGTTTCTTCCTAATACTCTGGCAATCATTTTGTTCCGCACCAGAAGTACAGCTACTATCTGTGGCCGCATCTGCTAAACTGGAGATTGCAAGGGCTGAGGATGCATTTGATAAAGGGTTTCCTTCTCCGTTACTCTCCTGAGCAGTCTGATTCTCTGACGGTGGTGTAGACCTCTCGTGGCTGTCCGATTCTTTAGCAGAATGCATCAAAGGTATCACATGGTCAGAGGGGATTTGTGCACTATGCTGCCTTAGGGCAGCAACATTTTCAGCCCTTTCATCTGTCCTGAGGGAGGTAGTCAGAGGTGACACTTCCTGTTTAAGGCGCATGGTTGCTTTTTGACTCTGTGTAGCCATCAATGAATTACTTGGTGAAACCATCTCCTGGGGCTCATTTTCTTTGCCTGTACCTTCCTCACTGAAGAAGCTATACATAGAAGAAGCCCTGTCCACGATCACACTGCTCTCAGACAGGCTTCGCTTTCTTGCCAACCCAGGAGAGGAAGAAATGGAAACACCTTCCCAGTGGAATCCTTCTAGATCAGGAAGATCAGGTTCCCCATCCAAATCTAAGCCCTCCTGTTCATTTTGAACCAGGGGCACCATTTCTATGCCAAACCTTAAGAGAAAAGAAAAACATATATCAGACATGGTTAAGGGGCCATACCCTATTTAACATGCCAGGCTCTGTTAAGACTGAGGATGTTTTCTCTGTCTCTCTCTCTCTCTCTCTCTCACTGTCCACTCTGCCTGTCAAAAAATTAAAAGACTAAGGATGCAAAAATCAGTAAGATGGTTCTTACCTTCAAGGAACTCATAGTCTAATAAATAATTTATACATGAATATTATAATATCTTAATACTAAATTAGAGGGTTTTTTTAAAGATTTATTTAGCTGAAAGAGTTACAGAGGGAGGGAGGAATGGGGAGAGGGAGGGAGGGAGGAAGGAAAGGAGGGAGAGAGAAAGAGAGAGAGCTTCCATCCACTGGTTCACTCCCCTAGTGGCCGCAACAGTCAAGGCTGCGCCAGGCCAAAGCAAGGGACCAGGTTAGCAGGGGCCCAATCCCTTCGGCCATCTTCCACTATTTTCCCCAGGCCATTAGCAGAGAGCTGGATCAGAAGTGGAGCAGCCAAGAGTCAAACTGGCACCTATATGGGATGCCAGTGTGGTAGGTGGTAGCTTTACTCTCTAGGCCACAATGCTGACCCCTAAAATAGAGATTTATATAGAGCTATGAGAATACAGTTGAGGGAGTAAAAACTGAGGGTTTCCTCTCAAATGGAGCTCTAAAGCTATAACAAAAAACAGGCAATCTTTAAAGCAATCAAACAAAACCAAAAAACTTTTACTGAACACTCGTAAGTGCCAGGCACTATGCTAAACAAGCTTTATACTTATAATCTCAAGTGTTACTCACAGGGTATAGTAAAGGAAAAGGGAGCAAAACAATCCATAATTTCAACAGAATAAAAAGGTAACAACAGCCCACAGGTTCCAAGTAAAAGGTAATGGGAGGGGGCTGACAATGTGGCGTGTTGGGTAGCCACCGCCTGCAATGCCGGCATCCCATGTGGGCACTGGTTCAAGACCCGGCTGCTCCATTTCCGATCCAGCTCTCTGTTATGGCCTGAAAAAGCAGCAGAAGATGGCCCATGTCCTTGGGCCTCTGTACAGCATCACTTTCTCTCTTCAACATTAAATGAAATAAGCCATATACAAAAGGAATTTGGGGTAAATATTTAAATGAAACAAGTAGAATTCTCTTGACCAGGGTCAAAGGGTAACTTTAAAAAACAGAAGGAAGGCCGGCGCCGCGGCTCACTAGGCTAATCCTCCGCCTAGCGGCGCCGGCACACCGGGTTCTAGTCCCGGTCGGGGCGCCGGATTCTGTCCCGGTTGCCCCTCTTCCAGGCCAGCTCTCTGCTGTGGCCAGGGAGTACAGTGGAGGATGACCCGAGTACTTGGGCTCTGCACCCCATGGGAGACCAGGAGAAGTACCTGGCTCCTGCCATCGGATCAGCGCGGTGCGCCAGCCGCGGCGGCCATTGGAGGGTGAACCAACGGTGAAGGAAGACCTTTCTCTCTGTCTCTCTCTCTCACTGTCCACTCTGCCTGTCAAAAAACAAACAAACAAACAAACAAAAACAGAAGGAAGAACCCAGGAGAGGGGCACTTGAGGAGTGAACCAATGGGTGGGAGCTCTCTCTCTCTCTCTGCCTCTCAAATGAAACAGAATTTAATAAATTAAAGGAAAATAAGGAAGAAAGAAAAAAGAGGCACAAACCTGGGCAAGCCTTTGCCCAGCTCTTGCTTTTTCTTGGTGACTTGCTGAATGACCTGCTCCCAGTTGACATTTCTCCGAGATGCATTGAGAATCTGTCGGAGGGTTGGCTTGAGTCCAGACTCCTTCTCTGTATCACTCTTTCGATGACCACTAATATTGCGAATGCGGCGAGCACTATTGAGGTTTGGCTCAGGAAGGTGTGCTCCAGTTTTACTCTTCAAACTAATGTGCCTGGTTAGATCTCTCTGGAGTGAGGCAGGAAAGCCAAGCTTGCTTAGTTCAGGCAGAAGAGGGCCTGAGGGCTGACCAATATCACCCTTTTGAAGCTCTGCATCCAAGCTAGTAATCTCAAAGCCTTCTGTTTCATAAGATACAGGAGATTTTACAGAGTCGTCAACTTGCGCATCTTCTAGAGAGGTCTTCAAGTCCAGCAATAAGCCACAGTGTGGACTGGCTGCAGTTGTCATTTGTAACTCAGACTCTTTCTGGTGAAGTGTGGAATTACACGGGGAAGCAGACAGATTTCTAGATGTTTTCAGGATCTGGTCTTCTTTCTCATCAGCAGTGTGAGTGTTGCAGGATAAAACTTCTGTAGTTGAAGAACTCTGGACTCCAGATTTTGTTCCATGCTTTTCCATGTCGGATGTCTCCCCATCACTTTCATCTTCTAATGCACGTACTTGAAACTCAATCTTCAAAGACCCTTTTTCAGACTCTTCTACATTTCTGCTCGCTTTTGCATAGTTCTTCGTCCTTTTAGAAGTGCTAAGAGGTGGATTTTGCAGTGACTCATGACACTGTAGCACCTCCTTGGCTTTTCGTAACGTATCATTTAAACTGTCATCAGGTTCCCTCTGAGTGCCAAACATACTTTTATTCCCTTTTGATGTACGAGGACGTGAACTACGCAATTTGGAAATGTAAGAAGAACCATGATTATCTTCCAAAGTGGGTTTGTTCAAGGGGTTTGAGTATTCTCTGGGGAAAAAAGAATTTGTTTTGGTGTTTTTTGAGGGCTTCTTTGAATCTTGCTTTTGAGGAACTGATTTAGTGGCTGGAATTGGAAGGAGTGGGGACTTTGCTGATGGCATCTTATTTGAGTTATGTTCTCTTTCAGGTTTTTCTGTAACAGGGCACTCTCTCCCCCCTTCATGGGAAGCAGTGCAATCAGAAGTGGCTTTGTGACTAACAGATGTAGAAGGTATTTCTTTTTGTGTTGGCGTTAGGAAATTATTTGTTTTACCAGTCTGGGGTTCTTGTAATCCTGCGGTTATCAAACTAAAATCAAACAAAGGCTTATCCATCGTTTCTGACTTGTTACCAGTGACTTCTTTCAGCGCTGCCTGTAAATCCAGAGACCTCTGAGAAGGGTAGGGAGTCCAGCGATGAAGCTTTTCTCTTGTTATACTGCTGTTCTTTCCACTAATTTTGGAAGCTGCAGTGTCTGTCTGTTTAGTGGTTTGGCTTTCCAGTTGTTCAAAATTGAAGTCAAGTAAGCCTTCTGAAGGAAATTCATCACTTGTAAATCCTTCAGAAGAACCTCTGTATGTGGCAACTGTACCAACTTTATCATTTTCTTGCCACTGCCAATTATACCTCTCCTGATTGTATTTGCTTGACTTACTAGATTTCTTGTTCCGTGGCATCATCTTATCTTCCTTTTGACAGTTAGAATTTCTGTTTCTGCCTGGTTGAAATTTGTCTCCAGGGCCATTGTAATTCCAATTATTTGTGCTACGTACACTGGATTTCCAATTTCCATTGCTGCTGTTTATATGCCAACTGGAAGAGCCACCTGTTCCTTCAGAATGCCAACTGGAATTTCTTCCTGTACCATTATGATTCCAGTCTACTATTCCACTATTTGAATGCCAACTACTTCCAGAGTTACTATGGTTGTGAAACCAACTTGAGGAGCCTCCTGAAGCACCCTTATGCCACCCAGAACATCCTCTTGACCCATTATTCCTCGAATGAGAAAAGCTATTTTTCCGGGTATTATTAAAGCCATCTTTTTTCCATTTCCAGTCACGCTGTGGAGGTCCACGATGATGCCTTGCTGGCTGACTGTAACTCTCTCTGTCTTGGTAAGGAATTCGGTCTTCTCGTCTCCTTTGGGGTCGTCTATCATCAGAGTTTATTTCTTGGCTGCTATTGGAAGGTTCATCTTGTCTGGAAGAAAAATAGTTTTTTATCCATGATTTAAAGGAACTCTTAATCTTCCTTTCAAGGCATTACACACCAAACTTTCCCTCTACCATCCTCCTCTATTGCTTAGAGTTGTTTTCACATTATTGAAAAATATAGTATCCAGCTAGTATTTTTACATTACAGAGCTTTCTCAAAATAAGAACAATTATACTGTGTAGCTATGGTTAGTTATTATAGTTAATAAAATGCTATGTTCAGCTGTCCTTAACAGTAATTATGATTTCTTCAGTTATAAGTTCTTTCTGAAAAATTTAGTTTCTTAACATTAAATGGAAGGATATTTTGAATGGTTACCTTTCATTAATAAACAAATATTCTATCAAGCACCTATTCAATGGCTATTAGTGGTGACAGAACTTTTGTGTATAGTTCTTGTTCATGATGAGTTTACAAGCTAGCTGAGGAAGTAAGGCCACAAAGTCAAATAAATAGCACATACCAATAAATAGAAACCACAGTAAGTGCTGTAAGGAGCTCTATGAGCCAGACACTTTTAAAAAGAAGCTACAGCTCTTCTCACTAGAATTCAACGAGTACTAAGGGTCAGACATTTATTGCTAAGCACTTTATATAGATTATTGCATTTAATTTTCACAATCCTTAAGGCATGCATTCTTATTATCCCTACTGTTTCAATAAGGAAAATGGGTATTGAGAGATTAAGTAATATGCCTACAGTAATCAGAAAGTAGAAAAGTAGAGATGGATCTTTGGCAGTCTGATTCCAGAGTATATGCACCTAACTACAAGCTGCCATCTGCAATACCAGCATCCTATATGGACACCAGTTCCAGTCCCAGCTGCTCCACTTGCGATCCAGCTCCCTGCTAATGACCTGGGAAAAGCAGTGGAGGGTGGTCCAGCCCTGGCTGTTGCAGCCATCTGAGGTGTGAACCAACAGATGGAAGATCTGTCTTTCCCTCTTTCTCTGTATACTCTGCCTTTCAAATAAATAAATATTCAAAATAAATAAAACCTTAAACTAAGTGCTGACTTTAATTTGCTTTAAATATCTATAGTATTTTGGACATGAACTTAAATTTCTTCCTTTATTTACAAGACCGAATTATAATTCAATTTAACTAAAACTTCAAACACCCACTTAGATGATAAATTATAACCACTTCTAGGATAGGCATTTGCCCTAGTGGTTAATATGCCCACATCCCACACTGGAGTGCTTGGGTTCAACAACTGGCTCCAGATTTTAGCTTCCTGATAATGCAGACTTTGGGAGACAGAGGTAATGACTCGAAGAAGGGTTCCTGCCACATATATGGAACACATGGACTGAGCCCCTAGCTCCCAGCTTCAGCCTCAGCCCAGCTTCTCACGGACATCTGAGGCATAAACCAGCAAATGGGAGTATGCATAAGCTTGCTCTCTCGCTCTCTCTCTCTCTCTTTTTCTCTAGCTGTAAATGAACTAAAAAAGAAAAAAGGTTTTGGGGTAGACATGTAGAAATTTAGCCTAGCAATTAAGATGTGGGTTGAGATACCTGGGTCACCCATTATAGTGCCTGAGTTTGATTCCTGGCTCTGGCTCCTGACTAATGCAGATTCTGGGAGGTAGGTGTGAAAGCTCAACAAATTAAGTCCCTGTCAACCATGTGTGAGACCTGGATTGTGTCCTGGCTTTGCTTGGGGGGTGTTTGGGGAGGGAGCTAGCAGATGGGAGTGTTTTCTTTATCTGTTTTTCTCTGTTCTCTCAAAAAAAATATAACCATTTCTAAACAGGAGACCCTAAGTTCCCAAGTAACAAGTTATCACATACACCAGCAAGATTTTAAAAATAATTAACCAAATTTATTTTATCTTTTATTTTACATCCAAGGGAAACATTGCCTGAGCTGTACTAATGTAATTAGAAATGCGAGAATTAGTGGGAAAAAAACTACTCACAAAGCAGAATTTCTGCTTCATCATGAATTTGTTAAATTGAGGGAATAATAGCATTCAGTCAAACTCACAGCCCCTGTAAGTTTAAAATCTCATAAGGGAAAACAGAAAAAAAAAATCTCAGGCATACCAAAAGACTCAAAGAATAATAACTATGATAGGAATGTCTAATCTACTAAGATTCTCTTTCACCCTTTGACTTAATGTGTAGTCATTGACACAGATAAGCTAATAATGGCACCAGAGGATAAGAACAAACCAAAGGTTAGTATCCTGGAGGATCTAATCCCTAAAACAGGAGAAAGTAAAAGCACGACTATTCTAAAAGTAAGAAGAATGTCATCTGAAAGAGTAAGCAGCTGAATGACTTAAGAACCAATGTTGCTGTATTTTAAGACTAAGGAAATCTCCCTCAGGCCCTTGTTCAAAAAAACCTTTAACACATAGAGTAGAAACTACATACTACCTTTGTATATTCAAACTCTAACTAAAATAATGACTATTTGAGAAGGAGCTTTAAAATTTCATTTTAGAATTCGAAATGTTTCTCATCATCATGGCCTAGGACTTGGTTTGCTCTTTTACTCACACCTGAAAATTTCTGCCTCATTAATTAAACTCTTTGGACTACAAATCAGTAAAATAAAAATACAGATGCCTAACACAAGAATGTCTAAATGTAGGTATTAAATTATGTACTACATGCAACAAAACCTACATTGTTCAAATCATCTTGCACTAATAAGAAAAATCCAATTTGATAGAAGCATAGTGTTAATTCCCATCAAGCAAAAAATTTATTTCCTTAGTAATGTTATTTTGGCAACAAGGAATACCACATAATATATTCAATGAAGCTTATATGCTAATACTTTTCCACTAGAAATTTTGCACAGCAATAAAATCAGTTCAAAACTTATTTGCCAACATAGTAAAATTTTCAAAAATGTAACTAGAGCTAGTTATACTCAGTTACTCCGATACTCAGTTTGATTACAATTAAGTGAACAGTACTCAAATAACAGAGAAACCATTCCATTGGCCATGTGTTCATAGCATAGCAACCTCAAGCTAAGCCTTATAACTAAGCTTACCTGCAACAGGCTAAAGAATATAAAAACATAAAATGTATTCTACACTGTGTTTTGTTACAAGATCAACTGTTTAAAAAATTGAAATCATTAACTTACCGACTTTGTTCTTTCCTTTGTTTTATTAACTGAACAAGTTCCTTGTCAAAATAATCTTCTTCTTCTTCTTCTTCCTTTCCATCATCTTCTCTTTCCTGGGCATCAACCTTATCTTTGTGCAACTGGCCAGAAATGTGCTTCGCATATGCAGAAAGACCCACTTCTGTGACCCCGCACACTCGGCACTCATGACTACTATCCCTAGGGAAAGAGGGAGATGAGGGACATTCAATTCTCCCCACTGGCATGGCACACTCACCAGATCTGTTATGGGTTCCTCTGAAACACTCTGCACCCTTTGATGCAGTGAAAGATTAGTGCCAATCAATTTCAAAGTTCCTTTCATCACTTTTAATAAATTTGTTCAGAAGTTACTTTTGGAATAAATTCAAGATTCCTTTCCAGCAATCAAGAGGCAGTGTACTTCAAATAATGTTGTTGAGGAGGAGAAATCTTCTTGAATTGCTGTACTTAAAACCTTGCCAGAGGAATCATGGTGAAAGGGGAGGCAGGGCAGGGGGCTCAGAGCAAACACAAGTTGCTCTGGAGCACACCCATGATGCCAGCTGCACTCAGAAAGCTGGTGACAAGTACTCCCATTTAATCTCCTGCTCTAGTGCCTTCATCCAGTCAAAGTTAAGGGGTGGAGAAAACAGTAGGTGGCACAGCCAATCCCAACAGAGTAACTAAATCTGAACAGCTGGAGCTCTGCCCGGAATGTGAAGATTCCGCCCAGGGGCAGATGACAGCAGACCCAGCGAACTCTTTTGGTCTGGATGATACATGTGACTCACATTCTGCTTCAGAAGGGCTTATTTTAAAGGGAATGGAAGGCATTCAGTTGTAGGAGGCCAACAGCTGTGACAAATGTTTTTTCTCAAGTTTCAGAAAATGCTACAGTTCAGAGAAGCAAAATATGGTTTTTAGTTAAACAGAGCAGACTTTTTTTTTCTTTTACTTAATGCATTAAATGGTAAATTCCATACTGGACCTGGTCTAGAGTCATGTCCAGAGTTTTAGCAGATCAATAATTTAATTGTTTTTTAACTTCTTGAAATTCTTTGACTGGATCAGCTGACTATGCAGTCTTTCATGAGAAACATCTGAATACTATGGCTACAGGACAGTTGAACCCATTCCATAACCCAACTGCCTTAATCCTGTATCAGGTGTCTTGAGTTTATAATAGTGATATTTTTGCACTTCCTTTGCCAATCTATAAACACACACACACACACACACACACACACACACAGAGTCTTTGGCCAACCACACATGCACGCACACCTTTTGTCCATCTTCCCTTCACATATAACTAACAAGACGGGGGCAGGATTTAAACCAGAAGTGACCCTCAAAACTGAGCACCTCATTTACTAGAAGACAGCTTCTGTTATACATCACCTAAGTGATTATTAAAATATATAATATATAAAAAAATACTGAACAACTGTAGAATTCCAGGCACCATGCTAAGTATATGGTCACTGCTGTCTGGGATGAGAAAGTATAATTATTCCAACAATACCTACTCAGTTTAAAAAAAAATACTGTTTTTACTTTGTGGAAATCATGACGAACACCTTTGGAAAAAAATGGGGGAAATTTTCATGTTTTCCCTCTTTATAGGACTTTGTAACCTCAAATGCTAACATAAAGTTTTTTTTGAAATGTTTATTTTACTATTATTTCTCTGCAAGGCAAAGAAAGAGAGAATTTCCATTCACTGATTCACTCCCTAAATGCCTGCCACAGCCAACGCTGGGTCATGTCAAATCCAGGAGCCTGGAATTGGATCCAGGTCTCCAACATGGGTGGCGGGGCCTAAGTACTTGCAGCCATCTTCTACTATCTTTGCAGGCATGTTAGCAGGGAGCTGGATTAGAAGCTGCAGAGCCTGGACTCAAACCTGCACTCTCTCATATGGGATGCCAGCATCACAAATGGAGGTTTAACCTGCTGCACTCCCCCTAAGAATCTACAGAAGCTAAATACCTTCCTTGTACTATACATAGAAGTTAATTCTTTTTTTTTCTTCTATTTTTTTTTTTTTTTGACAGGCAGAGTGGACAGTGAGAGAGAGAGAGAGAGAGAGAGAGAGAGAAAGGTCTTCCTTTTGCCGTTGGTTCACCCTCCAATGGCCGCTGCAGCTGGCTCATCGCGCTGATCCGAAGCCAGGAGCCAGGTGCTTCTCCTGGTCTCCCATGGGGTGCAGGGCCCAAGCACTTGGGCCATCCTCCACTGCACTCCCTGGCCACAGCAGAGAGCTGGCCTGGAAGAGGGGCAACCGGGACAGAATCCGGAGCCCCGACCGGGACTAGAACCCGGTGTGCCGGCGCCACTAGGTGGAGGATTAGCCTATTGAGCCGCAGCACCAGCCCAAGATCATCTTTCAATTGGGGACTTTAGTATAACCCCTGAAAATTAAATTTCTGATTTTCCTCCTAAGATTAGAGAATTTTCATAATATATATACTATTAGAACCATCTCTGTCTCTCTTTCAGAATCCTTCTCACTTTAAAGACACAACTGGTTAGCCACAATAATTTATTATTATTATTATATATTTATTTGAAAGGCAGAATTCAAGAGAGGTAGAGGCAGGCAGAGAGAGAGAGAGAGAGAGAGAGAGAGAGAGAGAAAGAAAGAGGTCTTCAATCTACTGGTTTGCTCCCCAGATAGCCACAACGGCTGGAGTTGCACCGATCTGAAGACAGGAGCCAAGAGCTTCTTCCAGGTCTCCCACAGGTGCAGGTACCCAAGGACTTGGGCAAGATGATCTTCCATTGCTTTCCCAGGTCATAGCAGAGAGCTAGATCAGGAGAGGAGCAGCAGGGACTCAAACCGGCATCATTTCAGGATGCCAGCACTGCAGGCAGCTGCTTGACTGCTACGCAACAGTGCCAGCCCCACAATAACTTTTTAAGATTAAGAAATTTTACCATAAGGGCTGGCATTATGGTGTGGCAGGTAAAAACTCAGTCTGTGGTGCTGGCATCCCACATGAGTGCTGCTCCACTTCCAATCCAGCTCCCTGCTAATGCATCTGGGAAAGCACTGGAAGTCGGTCCACATCCTTTGGTCTCTACACCCACATGGGAGACCCAAAAGAAGCTCCAGGATCCTGGCTTTGGAGCAGCCCAGCCCTGACCATTGTGGCCACTTGGGGAGTGACCTACCAGATGGAAGATCTCTCTCTCTAACTCTGCCTTTCAAATAAATAAATAAATAAAATCTTTAAAAAAAAAAATGAGGGGCTGGGGCTGGTGCTGTGGCATAGTTGGTGGGGCTGCCACCTGCAGTGCCAGCATCCCATGTGGGCACCAGATTGAGTCCCAGCTGCTCCACTTCCAATCCAGCTCTCTGCTACGGCCTGGGAGGGCAGTGGAGGATGGCCCGGGTCCTTGGGCCCCTGCACCCACACGGGAGACCCAGAGGAAGCTTTTGGCTCCTGGCTTCAGATCGGCGCAGCTCTGGCCATTGCAGCCAGCTGGGGAGTGAACCAAAGGCTGAAAGATCTCTCTCCCTCTCTCTCTCTCTCTCTGCCTCTCCTTCTCTGTGTAACTCTGACTTTTGAATAAAATAAATAAATCTTAAAAAAAAATTTTAGTATAAAGTAGGCAAAATTTAACTGTTAAACATACAGAGGCTGCCGCTGTGGTGTAGTGGGGTGGGGCACAGCCTGTAGTGCTGGCATCCCATATGGGTACTGGTTCTAGTCCCAGCTTCTCCACTTCTGATCCAGCTCTCTACTCTGGCCTGGGAAAGCAGCAGAAGATGGCCTAGGTGCTTGAGCTCCTGCACCCATGTGGTGGACCCAGAGGAAGCTCCTGGCTCCTGGATTCAGATTGGCCTAGCTCTGGCTATTGCGGCCATATGGGGAGTGAACCAGCAGATGGAAGACCTCTCTTCTCTCTGCCTCTGCCTCCCTCTAACTCTGCCTTTTCTAGGCCGGGCCAGGCTTAAGCCAAGACCAGGAGCTTCTTCTGGGTCTCCCACGTAGGTGCAGGCACCCAATCCTTCAGGCCATCTCTGCTACTTTCCTATGTACATTACCAGGGAGCTGTATCAAAAGTGAAGCAGCCAACTCTTGAATTGGCACCCACAGGGGATGCAGGTGCTGGAGGCAGAGGCTTCACCAGCTACAGCACAAAGCCAGCCCCTCAAAGAGTTTTAAAAACACTGCTGATGAGGCCTGAGCTGTGGCACAGGCTAAGCTGCGACCTGTGATGACACCCACATCCCATATCAGAGTCGCTACTGTTCTACTTCTGATCCAGCTCCCTGCTAATGTGCTTAGGAAAGCAGTAGAAGATGGCCCAAGTGCTTGGGTCCCAGTAACCGTAGGGAAGACCAGGATGCAGTTCTAGCATCCTGGCTTTGGCCAATATATTGAAGCCATTTGATGAGTTAGCCAATGGATGGACAATCTTTTTCTCTCTGTGTCTTTCCCGCTCTCTCTGGTATTCCTCCTTTCAAATAAAAATAAAAATAGAATAGGAAAACATTTTTCAAAATAAATAAAAACATTTTTGCAGGTGGGTGTTGTAGCACAGTTGGCTAAGAGGCTGCTGGGGATGCCTATATCTCATAACGGAGTGCATGGTTTGAGTACAGGCTATGTGACTCTTCTGATCCAGCTTCCTGCTAATGAACTTGGGAGGCAGCAGATCATGGCCCAAGTTACTTGGGTTCCTACAACCCAAATGGGAAACCTGGATGAAGTTCTGAACTCTTGGCCGTGGCCTGGTCCAATCCTGGCTGTTGCAGGCATTTGGGGAGTAAACTGGCAGACAGAAGATGGCTCTCTGTCTCTGCCTTTCAAATGAAAAATTAAAAACAAAAACATAAATCTCTAATGCTTCTTTTATAAATGAAATCTAGTTTTAAAAAGAGGTAAGCTTTACAAGATATTTTAAAAAAAGAGAATCGGGGCCGGCATTGTGGCATAGTAGACCAATCCTCTGCCTGTGGTGCCATCATCCCATTTGGGGACTGGTGCCCCAGCTGCTCCTTTTCCAATACAGCTCTCTGCTGTGGCCCAGGAAAGCAGTGGAGGATGGCACAAGTGCTTGGGCCTCTGCACTTGTGTGGGTGATCTGGAGGAAGCTCGTGGCTCCTGGCTTCAGATCAGCTCAGCCCTGGCTGTTGAAGCCATTTGGGGAGTAAACCAGTGGATGGAAGACCTTTCTATTTCTCT